TAAACTGTTCAAATGCTTTGCATGTGTGGTCACACCTCATGCAAAGAAATTTTTTAGAAAATGACAGCATCTGTAAGTTTCCACAGCTCAAACCTTATGTTCATGGATTTCTTCCACAGTGCCAAGTACAACATAAAATGACTTATGGTATATGATATGATGGATGTTGATGTAAAAAAACTTATTGTTACATTTCTTCATTTTTTATATCATATTTTCTTTGGCTATGTATATAATATACCACACGTATACCAAAGAATAAGTTTGATCATTACACCAAACATATTCAGTTAGTATAATGATCTTGTCCACAAACGCTGACGCATTTCTCTTTATTTCCCTGTAGTTGTAAATCACATTAAAACGTATACATTCAATCCTACTTCAAGCTGTTTAGAGTTGACTGGAACTAATAATGGAAACAAATGAAATTTCGAAAAGAAAATATTATCCAGAACGCCGTTCTCCCTTAACACTTCAGAGGAGTTTTAGATGTATCGTTGGAATTTTTGTACGTCACAAGTATTGGCGTAAGAGGCAGAGTGTGAATGCTGAGCTGGACAATGCTTTGAGAAAAGAAAACTTCTTTCTTAACCAATACAATGCCTTGGTTGGACCAGACTCATATCTTAAGCTGAAAGAAAAAGAAAAAGAGGAAGGGAGTTGTTTCTAGATAAATATCTGTTAATGGGTCATAATGACAGGTAATGACAGACGAGAGCTTCCTAGCAAAACAAGGAAGGAGAGGAATAAACAAACTATAGCTACAATCTTGATTACTTTGTCCACAGTTTTGTCCAAGAACCCAAGCAGGGAATATTTGTGAGGACTTGGGACTTCCCATTTCTACATCTCACGGTGGAGAGAGAACATCAACAGCAACCACAGGCTTTCATTTATTACTAGACTATATATTAAAAGTATTTTTAGTGTTAATTATATGGGAACTTTACCTTATTGCTTCCCCTGACTTCTGCACTCCCAGTTCAACACTGAGGTAAGTAGAGATGAGCTTTTTATGGAATATAAAACTTAGCTGTTTGCTTAAGATGATTTTTTTTTTTTTGGTCTGGACTTTGGAATAATAAACTAAAAGAATTGTGATTCTACAAATTAACTAAATCACAGTTCTCTAGATCAGATGTAAAGAGATGCAACTGAAACTAATACATCAAGAAAATGTAATGCCAGAATTAGGATTCGGACATTTAAGTGTCTGCATTTTTATTAATTAAGTAGCATCAGATTTCAAATAAAGCCTGAGACGATTTCTTCTTATTCTCACACTTTTTTTATATCTACCAAAAATGGAAATGTTAGCTGAGATCCCAGATTTGTGAAGAATGCCAAATACATTTGTCCACCTTCTCAAGATATGTTACAAAAACAGCAGTAAGGAATACCGATCTACTTCATGTTATTATTTTACTTTAAACATTTTCTCTTCTATTTAAAAGGCACATTATAGCTTTAAGAAAGACCTGTAACTCTCACCTGTGAAAGCAAAAAATACTATGTACTTACAGTACATAGTAGTGTCTTCCAAAAGTATTTAAAATCATTTAATTTATTGTAATTTGATGCGATGAACCAACACAAAGTAACTTTTGCTTGTGTACTGGAAGAAAAAAGACTCAAGGATTTCACATTTTTGAATTCAGACCTTTTTAGTCTGAAAGCCTTAAATAAAATCCAGTGCAACCAGTTACCTCCAGAAGTCCCTCATTTGGCTAATTGAGTCCTGATGTGTATACTTTAATCTCAGTAGGAAGAATGCTTCTGTGAAGGCCTCAGAAAAGAGCATCTGAGAAAAAGAACCATTATGGAGACCAAGGAGCACAGCAGGTATAAAGTAGTGAAGAAGTTTAAAGCAGGGCTAGGTTATAAAAAAAACATTTCCCACGATCAGATGTCTCAAAGATCATAGTTTCATCCATCAGCTTAGTAGGAACAGTGCTGCAAAACTGGATTGACCTTTATTCATTTATTTTATTATTATACTGTACACCCGTGTACCTTTGAGGCAGGTTTCTTTTGAAAAACAGATTTTACCCAAAGCAATTTTCTGCTAAAATAAAAACTAAAAAGTTAGTGCAAAAGCATTAATCAAAAAAGCAGCGATGGTATCTCAAGAGGAGCTGCAGAGATCCACAGTTCAGGTAGAAGAGTCTGTCAAAAGGACAGATATTAATTGGGCATTTCACAAATCTGGTCCAAAAGAATGTAAGCAGAAATTGAAAATAAAAAGTGGATAATAAGTTGTTTTTTTTACATGACTCTGCTTTGTGAAATAGGTGCAGGACAGAAGAAGAGATTCCAGTGAGATCCCTCTCATCTGCCTTGAAACTGATAAAAAACAAAAATAAATAAACAACCATGGCAGCCAACATGGAGACCCTCGATCCTTCAGCTTTACCAGATATTCCTCCAACCGTCTCCTACCAATGTCAGGCTGAAACCGTTAACTTTTCAAGTGGAGTGGTCTCGGTGGCGGGCATCACTGTGGTGACTGGTGGCGTTGAACTCTCTTGTAGGTCCTGCATCCTGGCCTTCGGTTTTTGGGGAACTCTCATTGGATTGAGCTGCTTGGCCGTGGGGCTCTGGGACCAGCTGGCTCAGCTTAAAGATGGGACCTCTATCTTGCTGGGGCTTGGGCTGGTGATTCTTGTACTCAGTTTTTTGGTGATGGCCAGTGTGGTCATGTTTCACCTCCTGATGAAGAAGAAGAGAGGTATCAGACGAGAAGAAAACAGGGAAGGAAACCAAGTTTTAGTAGAGGGAGGTGAAGTTATAAAAAAAGTCACTGTATAAAATATGGCAAAAATTGTTGTGAGATAAATTCCTCTGTAAAGATTTTTGTATAAGAAATGTGCAAACAATAATTTTCCTGCTCCAAGCCTGGAGCATTTTTAACCCACATTAGCAGCACACCACGCTTCCTGTTACGTCACATTGGCAGTTCTGCCTTCTCCCCCAGTTTCTACACTTGTCTCACTGGGAGGTCAAATACAAAACAAATACTCTTTTGTTGTACTGAAAACTTTATAGAGGTTTTATAAGTCTCAACATATTTCACATACTTCAAAGAATCTTTGATTTGGCCAATTTTTTAAATTTTTAGATGAAAAAAGATGATTAAATGCAGTCCAGAGTTTTTTAAATGGACTGTGAAACAAGAGTTTAATTTGCCAACAATGTTGCAAAGCAATTTGCTTTTGGTGTGCACATCACATCGGCTGCACCTAAAATAATAACTTATTTTTTTCTAACTGCTGATAAACCCCCAATATAAGAGCATTGCTTTCATACTAATTAAACATATACATTTATTTTACTCGATTTTAATTTTATTCACCTTAAGATAATTTTAAATAGAAAATATACAATATTTTTAATGGATAAAAGGGTTTGTTATTTGCATTGGATAAAATAGTTAGCATTTGTGTTTAGTCCTCTTTAACAGTATAATAGCGTCTTAATTCAGGATAAAGCATTACATTTTGTTGCGTAAGACTTTAAGCACTTCTTGCTGCAAATTCAAATTGGAGTGTGTTATAAACATAACAGTTCTTCTTTTCCCTTGTGAGAATGCCAGTTATGTTGTGTCTGGAAACGTCACATGTAAAACGTTCTCCACAACAATCAAGCCAAATATGGAGCAGGCAATGAATTATCTGATGTGCGAGTTTGTTTTTACATTTGCTTTAAGATTTTTCTTTGTCCGTTAAGAACAATGTTCTTTTTTTTTTATACCTCATTATCTTTAGGTTTATAAAGTTTTATAGAATATTTTTTTTGAGTTGCACATTTTTAATCATTGGTTACATTTTTTAAAGAAAAGCAGGACAATGCAAAAGCTTATGTATGAGTATAGAGACAAAAAAAGAATGAAGATGTTTTAATGTAATGTTTAATATACATTATGAATTTATCAAAGCATGTACAAATAAAGTGACAGTAAAATGTCGGAATGAAGGTACAAGTGTGGTCCTTAGCATTCATTTAATACGTAGATTGTGATGTTTAAATTATTAATCTTAGCACTACTTAAAGAACTTATGTGGATGGGTTTGAGTTTGGCGATTTGGAGCAATGCATAAGATCGAGCGAGGCAAATGCTCTGTGGGTCTGTACATCTAATGAATGATGATGATTGAGTTTTACAACAAAAATCTAATTACCAGCTTATCGGTAAATATAATTAACAGCAGTAAAACTTTGTTTAATTAAGCAAATTATTTCTGTAAAAATTGCATATTAAAGTCAAGATAATATATTTTGCACCATATTTGTCTCTAAAAGAAACAAATCTTTAATTAGAAACCGTTATATGGACTTCTGACTATCTATTTAAAAGGAAAATAATTGTTAAAACAATATAAAGATAATTCTTCTATAGAATGAATTCCTTATCATTATCCTATATTATGGTAAAAAGCAGAAGTTATAAGTTACATGCAGCAAGGAGATTGTCAGATGAAGAATGTGTTGGCATCTCCCCCTGCTGGAGGAGAAACAAACTTCATCTTCTAATTTGCAGTGAATGTTTCTTCACATTCTATATCTGCAGTAATATATCTTTTGCTAAATTGTTTTATGGAGACTTTAAGTGTATTGTAATGTTGAAGCTTTTGCAGAAATAACACTCATGCATTCAAAATTGCTAACACCTGAATATTCCACCAGCGCCGTTCTCAGTCCCAATATTTTTCAATTCAACAAGCTGCTCTAATCAGCTGACACGGGAAAACTCGTTTATTCTCATCCACGTAAAGTATTTCAGCAGGTATGAGGCTTGGAAAGGTTTCACCAGGATCACCTGACAACCCGCCGTAACCTCCTCAAGTCACGTGTCACCGTTCAAGTTTCAGGAAACCTTTTTTTTTCCTTTCCGAAAACAAAACTACACATGTCCCGCCCCTTTTCCAATTTCATTGGATGTCATCCACAGTATCGGAGCTCTGATTGGACGGTCAGAAGACATGTCTGCGCACGTCAAAAATCGGACAACAACCTCGTTCTTTAAACTGGTTTCAGTAATTGATACCGTCTCCGACGAAAAAGCACGAAACAGCAGAGTTTTATTAGGTTGTAGAGTAAAAATCAGCCCAGAACCGCCGGTGGAGGTAAGTTTGTTGCTACACGGCTGAGCATAATAGCCACACGGCTAGTTTTCTGGCCAACTGACAACTTTGTAGACTTCAACTGTCTTCACGGTGTCCACTGTCAGTCACTTTATTTATTTATACAGGGTGGCAACACATCCAGACTGGGCTTATTACGCTCTTATGTCAATAACTAATAATGTTAATGACACGAATCTTTTGCTGGATACAACCTGTTGCTGACCTATTTGCATTTAAAGTTAATCTTATAAAGATCTGACATTTGTTTGTGGCTTTATTTCACAGAAGAAGTCGGGATAATTGGTTTGGCTATTTATAGTTACACAAATCCCATTCGTTGGTTGATTTACTTTTATGTTTTTTTAAAATGATTTCTGTCCTTTATAATTATGCTACTCAGTTTTAATTCCAAACTGCATAAATCCTTCATCTTTGTCAACATTAAACTCAAAATCTAATCGACCATATTCATGAATTTATTTAGGGAATATTTCCTTTTAAAATATTTCTGCATCAATCCATAAAAAAAAAAAAAAACATGTCTAATCAGTTACTGGCTAACAACTTGGCATGCAGTAGATCCTCAGCTTATAGAGGATCAATTTCTCATGTTCGACAGTCAGTGCTTTACATAACCTCTGCTAAATTAAATGCTCTCAAAAAGCTAGCGTGTAATATATTTCTGTCATAAATGTTATAAGGAGTAATAATAATCGGAATGAACGTGTTAATTAAAAAAAGTAACACAAATTGTTGCTCAGACTGTCCATCATGCCCTTGCTTGCCAGGTTTGCCATATAATGCAACTGTAAACAGCAAGTCCTCAGTTTCCCAACATCTTCAGCACCATCATCTTTCTCAATTCAAACTCACCCATTTTGTCACTATGTGCTTTACGAAAGGTATATCAGATTATTATTCTGTGTTCTTTGGTATTTTTGTTAAATTAAGAAAATAAATGCAACAGAAGCTAAATTCTCAGGCATAATGAAATACACTGCTAATACATTTCCACACAATGATGTGTGAGGACGACACCGTTACCTTACATGAAGAAGGTCCTGGGTTTGAATCCCAGCCTGAAATCTTTATGCGTGGAGTTTGCATGTTCTCTTGCTTTGTGAAAGACAATACTTCACCGATCACCTCTAATAATATTGCTGTAATTTTTTTTTTTTACAAAACGGGACTCAGATATTTACATGGTAAAGTAAAACAGAAATGAAAATGATAATAAGTTACAAGTATTCTGACTATCCGATGGCCAGGAAACTAAAGAGGCTCATTATTTACAAGTTATAATATGAAGAAAAGTACTAATCACTGTATGTTTTTTGTTTGTTTTTTCAGGATGGGATCTGAAACTCCTTCAGTCATCATGCAGAGTTTGCTGGCAGGCCTCTGAGAGGATGCTCCATTTAATGGTCTGCAAACAAACTTAATGCTGTGAAAAATGGGTGGTGCCAGTGTTGACAGAAGTGTCAGAGAGCTAGCTAGACTAGTTATATTAGTTGGAAAGGAAGTCCACTCTAGTATGTTTGTCACAGAATTGTAAGAAATCACTGTTTGCCCCAAGTTTGGAGGACGTTTTTTTAAGTAAATTGTATCGAATTTCAAAAACTAAGAAGCCGATGGACTACAGCGAGAAAGTGCTGTGTGGAACGGGGGAGGTGGAGCTGGATCCAAACATTGTGAGTGAGGAGGCAGGAAAACTTTATGCAGAACTACAAGTAAGTTGTTTTTTTTTTCTTTCCTTTGAGCACTTTTTTTTCTTATCAGTGTAAATATGAGTAAAATATTATTTGGATGTGATAAAACACCTGGGCTCTATTTCTGCTGCTTTTCCCTTCCATAGAATGTTATTGAGACTCATGGTGAAGGAGTGGTGGAGTCCCTGGTGCCCACATTCGTGTGGGTCTTGGAGGGGCTGGCTAACTGCAAAGCCCAGCTGAGAGAAAGAGAGGAGGAAGCAGAAAGGGAGAAAGCTGAGCGAGAGGAGCTGCTGGAGAGATACCAAGCAGAAAAAGCTCTGAGGAAGGAAAGTCAGGAGGTGAGAACTGATCCAGCATTAAGTAGCAGATTGATTTAGTTAGCTGGAAAATGAAACTTCTCATATTTAAGTGTCCTGATTCCTGGCAAAGGTGTGTAGTATTTTAAACTGCAACAGATTACCACCAACTTGCATAAACTGTGCATACAGCTAAAGCCAGAAGTTTATACACCAAATAAAAAGACAGATTTACTTCTTTTGTTTTACTGTATGAAATTAAATAAAACCAAGAACCTCTTGTTTTATATTAGTTGGGATCACTAAAATTATTTCTGTTTGCTAGATGCCACAATAATGAAAGAAAGAATATTTCCGATTTATTTAATATCTAAAAAAATAAGTTTACATACAGAATGATTACAATCACTTTAGTTAACTGGAGACCACATGTGAGACACTATGCTTTCTTCTTTGATATGATGGGAAAGTCAAGTGTCTTAGTCTGAAATGAGTAAAGAAGAAAATCCTATGACTTTGTGAAGATTCTGGCTCAATCTGGTAAGATGGTGTCATTATGCACAGTGAAGCATGTCCTCTCCTAACATGGGCTGAAAGGCTACTCGGTAACTGAAGGACTCACCTTAAGCATAGTTTGCAACTATGTGATCATAAAATTGCTTAAGGACAATAAAGTCAATATTTTGGCATCTGAAAAGGCATGGGAGAACGAGGTGTGTAGGGAAACGACTGCATTCAACTGTAAAAAAGGTATCTTTTAAACCATAAAAATGAACTTTTCTATATCCCTGAGCTGTTAAATATTTGTTTCTTTTAGAAATATTTAGAACTGGATGATCAATTCGAACAAGAGAGGCGAGCCATGAGGGGAAGAGAAAAAGAGAGAGAGCTGCGGGAGAGAGATCTGGAGAAGAAAGCAAGACACCAAGCTGATCAATGTGAGTTTCTGAGTATTAAAGAATATACATTTAAATAAATTCATATGTCCAGAGTTGATCAGTTGTATTATTTCCACACAGTCTATAAAAAAGTCTGTCTTTGTGTAGTAAAAATCAAAGACTAAGCTAGTCATTGATCTATAATTCATGCAGGTTCTTATTCATCTGTAGCTTTCTACCAGAAGTTTGAACATTTTGTGCTAACAGTGACTCATGTTTGAAACTATTCACAATTCTCTTCACATAACCCAGTTCTAGTGGATAAAAAACAGCTGGAAAGCATGATGCTGCCATCACTACGCCTCTCTGTGGTTATGTTGCTCTTTGGGAAATGTATTTTTGTTTTTGTTTTTTGCACCAACTATACTCTTGAATTATGGATAAAAGTTCAACGTCAGTTTCAACAGATAATGTGTAGCACATTTTCTGCGAGACTTTTGGTAAGAAAGGGCTTCCATCTTTTCACTTTGCCCTATCACTGAGACACGAGGGACACATCTCGGGCTTTACGGAACGTCCTTCAGCTTCTTTAATATTCCTCTGCTCCTCCTGACTCACTATCAGTTCTCTGGTTTCTTCCAAAGTCATGCAGGTTGGTTTAATTGGCCTAAATTGCCCTCAGGTGTGTGTTAGCACGGTTTCCCTGTTCTCCATTGACTGCTGGGACGAACTCCTGTTTCTCTGTGGCTATGCAGAGATAAAATGCAAATTGGTTGAAAATTAGTGGTAAACCACACATTTAGACAGTATCTCCATTTATTTTGGCTTGGAAGACATTCTAACAGTGTCTTTTTGTTTCTTTGCAGTGGTGGCCTTGGAGGAGCAAAAGACGAATCTTTCTAGAGAGCTGAGTACACTGAGAAATGCTCACAACAAGGTCAGATACTCCACTGCAGCCCAAACGTTCTCAATTCTGAACAGAAGTGTGTAAGCAATAATTAAAGACTAAAGTTTAACACCAATATGGAGATCCTAGGGATTTGTACAAATTGTTGTTCAGACATGAACTGGTTTCAGTTTTTAAACATTTAGTAAATGAAATGCACAACAGATACAAATGGTGGCATCAAATTGGATTAAATAAATAATAAAAGTATGTCTGAAGTTACATGATCATCATTTTTAATATTTTATATACCAGAAAGGTTACTCATTTCTTATTTTAGGTTGTCAAAATAACATTATGCCCCTGATATACTGATAAAATATAAATTTTCTCTTTTGTTGACTTTGTTTACTTTCAGTTCAGTTTAATATGGTACCAATTTTATCCCCCGTTAAGAAAGTGTATGTGTTGTTTCTAATGTCATTCGTCATCTCTCCTTTAGTTGACTAACTCGTATCGAGAACTTTTGGAGAAAAGGAAGGACTCTGAAACGGATTATCCTTTAAGGTTATTTACAGCTCTCTTTTCTTGAAACTCAACTTATTCTGCTATAAAGTATCCATAGTAGCAGCTTTTTTGTGACCCACATTAATGTTCCAAGATTATTGAGCTTGTCTAAATATCAAACCAGGCTGCTGTTTCTGCCTGGTCTGTGACAATGTCTCCGTTTGCCTTCTAAAATATTAATATTAGGAAAAAGACTTGTAAATGTTTGGTTGTAGATGCTGTAAATGATTCATGAATCATACGAGGATTATTTCTGTTACTTAAGAAGAAGATTTTGTAAATTTTACTCCACATGTTTGAATTTAGAAACCACTTCCGTCCCAAGAACGCAGAATTTCCATCTCAAGTGTTATCCAGATCCAGTATTAATGAAAAAGTGAGTATGACTTTTCTTTTTACTACAACTTACAGCTGCAAGTCTGATTCTAAAATCTCTGCCCATTTTATTTTTGGCAAAATTACTCCAGCTCAGTAAGGTTTTAAAATGTTTGTCCTCACCTGTATTGTGTAATGTTCTGTAACAAACCTCTAAGGCCTCCAGAGCTGCTAGATTTTTATTAAGACTAAAGTACACAAAGGGCGACTAGGTTTACTAATTTGGGAACTTCTCAAGTTGTGCTTCACTTTATTTAGGGGTGTAAATATTTTAAAAACCAAGTATCTTTGTGTTTTACTCCATTATTATGAGCTGAATTAGCGTTTCTTATTGGGGATCTTTTTTTGCAGATTATTCAGAGACCACACTCAAACTCTGGCCCACCATCTCTGGAAGCTCTAGAAGCCAAGGAAGAAAAAGTGTTTGCTGTTACTGCAAAACCTGCAACGGATCTGTTTGTGGCTGACATCATAAGCTCCACGCCTGAGCTTACACAGTTTCACAACAATGTAAAAGCAAGGTAATCCTAAACCATAAATTGGCTGATAAGCTTCTGGGATTTGATTGAAAAGCTTGTGAGTGATTATAATTATTAACCAAGTCAAAGTTCACTTCAGCTTACTGATTTGTTTTGAAAACATCTGGCTCTTCATGATTTGACTTCCCATTCAGCACCCCTGACAAATCTAAAACTGATGAGTCACTAACAAATGAACCGGAGGATGAGTTGAGGAACTTGGATGAGCTTCAGGTGGGAGAAGTAAAAGGAGATGAGGTGAAGGAAAAGAACCAGAAGGATGGGGATGAGATGGATGAAGATGACTGCATAGAGTGGGACCTCCGCAACACAGACTCTGTATTCTCTGAACTGTCAGAACTGAGTCGAGATTATTTGGAGAGTGTAGACCGAGGGGCCAGCATCAGAGGTGAGAGAGGTCATTGATGTTATTGAGATATTCCCCCCAATTATTTTGTTTTGTTGTTGAGTTCATGATAACATAAATAAATAAAGCTAACAAAAAAGTTTTGTTTTACAGATATTGTGGCATTAGCTCAATCTTGGTAACAGTTTCTTAATTCCTGCTCAAAAACTTTTTTTTTTTAATAGGAATTAAAAAAGACTTAAGATGTGTATCTTGGTCATGAAAACACAAAATAAAGTGTGAGAAACACTGGATGCTATCATCAACAAGTGTTTTAGACAAAAATAATCTGCTTCTTTTCTCTGTTTAGGCAGTGCAGACCAGTTTGAGGAGATTCTTTCCCAGTTTGAGGAACTGAAAGTCCTCCAGTGAGTCTTACATTTACATGTGGTTTCGTTCACTGTTGCCTGCTAGTGTTCTTTTTGTTTTTTTTAAGTGTATTTTCAGGTTTCCTGACATGTGAGTTTGTTGCTTCTGTTACTCATAACAGAAGGGAAGTGTGTAGATTTACTGTATATTTCTACCAACATTTAAACATTAAGAAGAACCTTAGGGGTGCATGTACGCAGATGTTTAGAGCAAAAAACACAACCATTTCCTGGTTTTTTAAGCAGTCTTGAAAGCATCAAATTTGCTCTCATATTTTTTCTCTAAAGTATGGGGGTAAAATTAGAAATATTCTGTCTGCAGTGAGTCAGTTGAAGCTGCTCGTAAGGCGCTGATATCCCGGGTGGTTGAGCTGACCGACGATCGCTCTGCCCTCACCCTGGAAGTGGCGACTCTTCAGGAAACTGTGGCGCATGTAGAGGGACGGCTAAAGGAGAAGGAAGAGGAAATAAAGAGGTGTGGAATGCCTTTCTACCTATTTAATTGATTTGAAACAGCCAACTTTTGTTTCTTTTCACCTGAATATATCCTTTCCTCTTTGATCACTGCTTGTTGTAGACTACGGAGAGAACTGGAAACATGCCAGCCTGAGGATCCTGATGTAAGGAGTTATTCCAGTTTTAAGAAGAATTGGTTTTTTTTAAATTTCAGGTAGCTATTCATTGTGAATTCTGACCTTTTTAAATCAAATATTATATCCGTACTTCCCCTCAGGCTGCTTTGCCCACATCCATGCGTCCATTTTCGCGCTCTGAAATGGCTCGTGTGGTCATGGAGAAGAACCAGTACAAGCAGCGTCTGTTTGAGCTGCAGGAGGCTCTGAGACACAGTCAGACAATAAGGTAGTTTTGATATTTCTGTGTCTTCATTCTTTATTTTTTAGAAATTTTATAAAGCTGTTTGCATATGTATTATATTGAGTTCTTCCCCTTGCACTGAATTTTTTTGTATTGTTTGTTTTTCTAGAGCAACAAAAGTGGAGAAATTTACAGAGGACAGAAAGTCAAGTGTTTGGAAAAAGTAAGTACAATTGCCTACTTATCTATTTATTTAAACATTTTTCTTACCCATAGTTTTTGTCGCATAAATTGCTGTTTTTTTTTTTTTTTGAAGAATTGAGCTTTGTAATAGCAAAGCAGACTTTGTTCCCATGTCTGTGTTTGTGGTCTGTAATTAAAGCAAGCTGTAAATGTGTATTAGTAATAAAAAATAAATATAAATAAAAGAAATACTACAATATCTGACCTACTCATAAATCATGGTGATAATAAAACATTGCCTTTCTGCATGCTTTAATTCTGGCAAAATGTTAAATATACTCCTCAGAATATAAGATAAAATATTCAGTTTAATACATGATGTGTGTACCTTTGGGACATGCTTTTGAGAAACAATGTTTTGATACAACACTCTTTATTCAAATCACATTAAACATAATTATTTTAGTTAAAATAACCAATCTTATTCTTAGTCATAAACATTTTATTTTACGCTCTAATTATTTGGCATTACCAAATATTACTAAATTGTTATTTATAGAGCAAGTTGTTTAAAATCAAATGTAACACAAAAGCTTTCTGGGAAATGTCTTCTGTCAATACAGGGCCATCCCTAAAAAAATAAAAAAATAAAAAACAGTCACACTTATGTAAACTCATCCGCAAGATATCTTTTAAACCTTTGCTGCCATAGAGACTTTTATAGTAAAACTAAAGTGAAACCATTGTGGCAATAGATGCTTATGTTACTTTTATTAATTTTATCAACTGGTTCATATTCTTCGTTCATTCAGATTCAACCGCTTGTTTGGCCTGTCCAAGGAGCCTCTGGTACCCGCTCCGACATCTGCATTGGTTCTGCCAGCTTCCTCATCACTGAGCCGCTCTCCCCAGGGGTCTTCACAGCTACCAACAATTAATAAAACCCAGCCTGAGTTAGCACTTTTTTCTATTCTAAGTTGATTTAATTTTTACAGTGAATGTCAACTCTTGAGGAAAATAGAATAAATTATACATTCGCATAAAATTTTAGGAAAATCTTAAAGATACTGTGCAATTGAAACATTTTAGTTTTAAAATTGTTTTAATGAACAGGTAGTGGACATTATAAGAGGAATAAAGCACTTAAGTAAATTGTGGTCTACAAAATATTTGCTCCTTTTTTTCTAATTCATTAATGCAATAATCCTCTAGTGTAATGATACCTAAATTGGTATTAGTGTTTTTAGTGTCCTACATTAGTAATTAGCACAGTGAAGCTTGGATGTTTATTTTCTTGGAAATGTAGATTGTTTGACTTACCTAAGAGATTTCCAGATGGCTAACAGCGACTTTGCTGTAATTTGTTTAGCCTTCCTGTTATCTGCTGAAAGTCTTGATCTCTCTTGCAACCTTAATCAACCAAAGAATGTAGAGAGAATGTTTAAAAAAACACACTTTTCTTTTAGAAGTCTCCTACCTGGAATTGTTCCATATTTTTAATAAATAAAATCTGTTTAAATGTCAAGTGGTTAAAATCCTTATTCTCCAGATCTGCTGCTCCTGCTGGTGTTTCACCCCGCGCCCGGAGGAGGGAACTCTACAGAGAAATCCGCTCCCATGTTTGGGGAACTCTAGGAAAGCGACACATACATGGCTGGAGTTTGCCACTGGCCAACACCCAGGTACTCCTCTGGCTGACGTTTTGCTATTTGCTCCTTACCTGCGTACCATTAATTCTGTTAAAAATTGCAGAAAATTATACAAGCACTAATTCATTAGGATTAAATGTGATTACTCCAGCAGTCTGGTGAGCCTGTTCCAGAGCCTAAAGATGTGCCTGTCTTGGTCCAACTCAGACTCTTAGACCAAAGGGACTCCACTGCCAAGGTAAACTCACTAATGTTAACGTCACACCTTTTGGAGTAAAACTGTCTTCTGAATTAATTTTTCCTGTGCAGCTTAACTGTGCTGTTGCAGTCACACCTGAGATCTCAGGAGAAGCCACAGTAAGTTTGTTTAATGCATCCCCAGTCATCTTCTAATGACACCTTTCCACCCGGTCATGATTAACGCCGCCTAAGCACAAGTCGGCTCATGCCACTCATGATTCCACGTTCTGTTATCCCTGCCCTGCCAGTGTTCGGTGTGGGTTGTTTCGGGTCCTGCCTCTTGCAGTGAAATCACGGTGATTGACCCAGCACGGTCCAACACAGTACTGGATCAGTTCAGCCTCCCTCCCACAGCCCCTGCCCTCTGCATCTGTGCTGTACCCCCCACAGGTCAGTCCTGCATCAAATGGCTGCAGCGTCTTTATTTGTCAAATGAACTTTCTCTACTGATTTAATATTTTGCTGGAATCACTTGAAAATGACTCTGCGTTTCCTTTGACACGTTCTGGTTGGTTTTGTTTTGTCAGAAAACTCGGCAGGGACTGTGTGGATTGGAACTCAGGAAGGAAGGTAGCATTGGCTGAGAAAGCAGATCTCTTCCAAATGAAACACATTTTCTTGACCTTAATACACAGCTCCTTTCCTTCATTTCTTGTCTGTTTTGCAGTATTCTAGTTCATCCAGCCTCTGCAGGAAGGAGGCGATGTGTGCAGACAGTATGTCTCACAGAGGGTGTGCATTCACTAGTGTGAGTACGGTCTGCTCTGTGTTTACATATAAACATATATTGGATTCTAAAAACATATCCACAGATTTTGCCACATACTAAAAATAGCCTATTTTATGTTGACTCAACTTACAGGTACTCCAACAATCAGGTTATTGCTGGTTTAGCTGATGGTACTCTGGCATTTTTCTCTCAAACTTCAGGTAATCAGCATATCGGTTTCTTATGTTTATTATGGTATTAATGTTCCAACGACAGAAACGATGAGATATTGTGCATTTGGATCCACAGACGGATGGAATCTGCAGTCGCACTCCGTGATGCCTCTTGGAGTAAACCCTCTGCAGCCCATTCGCTGCTGCCTCGCAAAAGGTGCTCGTCTGTGGGTTGGATACTGGAACAAAGTTCATATCATAGACACTGACAACAAGAAAGTAGAGGTGAGAAACAGAAATATTCTCTGCTATATGGTGCTGACTGACTTGTAAAACTTGTATTGACTTTTTAAAGCGTATTTTCATTTTTACATGTGGCCTTCATCTTAGAACCAGGATCTCATTGTTTATTTGAATTTGAGACTATTTAAGCAATTGGATTGTTTGTTTAATTATTCATTTTGAGATTCATATTAGACAATGCATAACATCCTTAGACTGTAGCACTGTGTATATATATTTTTTATTCGAACACATATTTACATCATCGTGCATTTCAGATATGAAGTCACACTTGATGCTTCACAAGAAGAACTTCATTTCGTCATGTTATTAAGGTGGCTTCCTGTCAAGATCAGATAGGAGGAGGTCTACATAAATATTGATTCAGTGCTGAGTTTGTTTTTGAGGAATAATTTTAGCTATGGCAATTATCCAAAACTCTCATAACTAAGATGATTCCTCAGAAACAGGTTCAGCACTGGACTGAAATTGATTTTAAAAAGTGCAAAAAAAGGAACTTTGAAAGAAAGAATGATTCAAGACTTTTGCACTTCTGACTTCTGAGTGTGTGTATGTATTTAAACTTGCTGTATTTGTATTTGCCATCATTATTTCTCATCTTCCTTCCCAGCAAGTATTTTCTGTATCGGAGCGCAGTGAGCAGCAGGTCCGTTTCCTGTGTGCTGGAGGAAGTGGGGTTTGGACGTCCTGCAGACTTGACCCAATCATCAGGTTGTTTGACTGGACTACTGGACGACCGCTGCAGGAAGTCGACTTCACATCTTTGATCACTAAAACATTAGGTGCCTAAACTGTTTTCTTTTTTCTCATGACCTTTTCAGTGTTAATAAAACAGTTTTACATTTATTTGACATCAGTTTGTTTTGTTTTAGTTTGCGACCAACTACATTTAGTTTATTGCTTTTGTTCACATTCCGGTTTGTGTTGCAGGTCAGCCCTTCTTGATGCTCTCACCTCTCCAGATCTCCTCCCTCTCCATCATCTCTGGCCGTCTGTGGGTGGGCACTGGTGGCGGCGCCATTTTTTCCATCCCCCTGTCAATAAGTATGTCAAAATGATTGCATTTTATATCATTAGAAATGTGCTCTGGTATTAAGGAGACTAATTGTCCACAGCGTCAGAGGATATTTCCATCCCATACTGCTCCACTACATCAGTCCAGCTGTCGTATCATGGACACAGACAAGCAGTTCGATTCATCATTGCTGCTCCTGGTAAGAAATTAAGAGCTGTTATTATAATGTAGTAAGTATGTTTTTATTTTCTTTCTCTACATAAATTTTAGAGAAATTATTTATTGCAATCTAAAAGGCTACAGTGTTCTAAAATTATGACACCAGATTAAAATCTAGTTATATTTTTAGGAATATGAGCAGAAAAGGGTCTGATCAACTTTTCAGACCATAACTGCAGGCTGAAAAACAATAAATTCACTAAACTAATGACAGAAATATACTTTTAATGTCTGTAAATGTTATTTTTTTTATAATAACCTCATGAGTGTTCTGTCTTCTCCTTGCAGGCTGTTTGATCACGTCTCCTGGCAGCAGCCATGTAACCACTGCTCAGCTCGTTCTCAGTGGAGGAGAGGGCTACATCAACTTCCGAATAGGTGAGTTCAGTTTTAACACCAGATGATGAGTACGATCAACGCTTCCATAAATGCTGAACAAAATGAACCTTTCAGGAGATGATGCAAGTGATGAGTCGACTGAGCTGTCTCAGTCGACACCCCAGCGGTCTGAACGTAGTCACATGATCATCTGGCAGATTCCCAGCCCTTCTGTGCCCAACCCTGCACTCTGAATGTTCATCTCCTGAGTCATGTTGGACGTAAACAAGCATTTACGGAACCAGAGTCTCCTCTCAGTGGTGCACTGATCTGAACAAAATATCACTGTGGCAACAAAAAGCCTGTAAGATGTGATAATTTTTCTTTTTTTTATATATTTTTAAGTCCTGTACCTTGTTCGACTAGATTTTGTCTTTCTATGTGCCTTCATCTGATTTTTATACCCAGTCTGTATTTTTCATCAGTTATCAACTTTTTTTTTTTTTTATCTGATAAACTTTTGCACAAGCAATGAATTCAGGTTCACAAACATTGAGATCTCCAGTGGAACAATAGAACAATTCTCCATCCTTGGATCATGATGCTTGTTTTTTTTTTTTTTTTGGCTGCTGTTTGCATAACTTTACTGGAATACTGGAAGGGGGTTTGTTTTTTCCTTAAGCATAAAGACAATCATGTCAAAATCTTTTGACACTGCATTCAAACTAGGAACTTGATGTGTGGTCTTATGTCCTGGGACAGGTATCAAATCCTGCCTCTTAAGTCCAGGTGGAGTAATTGCAACAACTTGCACATTATAAATGTGTCTCTGTAGAATATTCTTTTGAATCTCTTTAAGAAATTATTTATTTTTCCTGTTTGCCTAATGAATCAAAGTGCTTCATGTCTTAATGTGATTTCTTAGTGCTTGTAAAATAAGGGAGAGATGTTCTTTAAAATGTCATTTGCAGTATTAGTGTGGCATTACAAGTATAAGCAAACATATCACAGAAGCCTCCTTTTTTTTCTTGGACAGACTAAAGTACAGGTTCTCAATCAAATCTTGTAGCATTGGTCATTTTTTGATGTTATTGTGTAAAGCTGTATCCAGATTCATATCAATAAATTAAAATATATTTCCAAAGCTAAGTCAGTTGAAGTAAAACTTGTCGATACACAGATGTATTTCAAGTCTTTACTTCTGATGATGGCTTCCAGCTAAAGCATGTCTAAACATTTGTGACTCTGGAAATTACAATATGACGTTCAACTGTTTTAAATGTCGATTTTATTATTAATATTTACTAACTTGACATTGTTTTCCAATAGAGAGTCAATAAAACATTTGATAAAAAGGATAAGTCACTAAGAAGAAGCTGGTTGTTCAAACCTGTGTAGTAAAGTTTAGTGGAAGAAAAAAGTGTACTAGGTCCACAAGCAGTAGGAATAACCAGAGCCTATTTCCAGGTCTCTCTTGAAAAAGAGTTTCTTTAGCATTTGGTGTCAGGTGTTTTCCAGGCAAGTCAAATTTTAAAAAAATTTTATTCACAAGTTCAAGAGAAGAAAAATGAACTAAACACTTTCTCAGTGTGAAGATCCTCAGATGATTTGTGGTTCCGTATCATTTGCTGGTGTTTTTCTAGTGTGTTTTATATATATATATAAAAAGTCCAAAATCTGTTACAGGAACTAATGGAGCACACTTCCCTTTACTGACAAGCTTAATAGGGATGTTTTCGTTTCCAGGCAGAACCTTGCCCAGACTCCCACAAGCATCAATACCAGCTTTAATGACCAGGGTGTTGCTATATTTGATTGACATGTAAAGTGGTCTAATCTGAACCCCAGTCTAGAGTATTGGCTCCTAAACCTGTTCCTCAACTACCTCTGCCTTCATGTTGAGATGACTGTTGATTCAAATGATCTCCTCTACAAACACCAAATGCTGCGGAAACTTTTTAATCCACCAGCCATTTAATTCAGGTATTTGGAAGCAAGGAACGTGTGCCTTGAGGAAATCGTCTGGGAACCACTGTTCCAGAGGATTGTCAAGTGGAAGATGAGAACCCCAGACCCAGCAATGCAGACAAACTGGAAGCCAGTATTAAAGCAACTTGTGGTTTTTTAAGATGCCATGCCAAACTGTACAGATCCTGTAAATCATGCAGTCGAAGTCTTCACTAAGTATAGAGTGCATTTTCTTTCTTAAAAGCTAAATTTTGGTTTTTCATTTAGTGTAACCTATGATCGTCAAAATAAGTAGCGATACATAAATATAAATATATTGAAATATACTGTTTACAATAAATATGTGAGCATAACATTTTGAACATATTTACTTAAATTAACTTCTTGAGGATGTTTTAAATTATTGAGATATACAGTAATAGTATAATAATTTGGCAAAGACAACTATAAATTATTAACGAGGCAGCTGAGAAAAGACTCGTTGCAATAGTTTTAATATCAAAGACTATATCTACTAGTGCATGTGTGCATACTTAAGGAAAACATACAGATTCTGTTTATAAAAACAAAGGTAGACATATCTTTATCAAAAACTGACAGAAAGAAAAGCCCTGAATGAAGCTTTTGTTTCAAGTAATTTGGCTCAAGAATCAAAACCAGGCTGATGCCTCGACTGTTTAACTGGGACTGCTGTGCGTCCTGGGGAGCCGTATCCTCCGGCTGACAGAGCGAGCCAGTTGGTCCATAGCAGAACCCAAACGTCCATTCCGGTCTTTTTGTAACTGCAGACCTTCAATGTTGCCACTATACCAAAGCACCCAGCCGGCCATAGAAAACAGGACTAACAGAGCTCCAGAGTACACCAGCAGATCCCCAAAGTCTTCGCCCTCGATCTCTAGGGAAGCGAAGACGCCTACCAGCAGGGACGTCACACCCAGCACGTCCATCACCACGGCAAACACCAGAGCAAGCTTACAATGGGACAACCCGTCATACTTCTGTCCCATGGCTGGACTGAAAGAGAAAGAAGAGCTTATTTAGACAACCCATATAAATATGGGTGATCCTGTCCCAGAAACCTAGACCACCACAACATCTTTGGTGAAGATGTGTGAAAAGACAAGAAATGAATCCAGCTTTTAATCACATTACATTTATCCAACAAGGAAACAATTCCACATTTACTTTTAACAAAATCACTGGTGCCACACTGATCCTAACCCCTGTTGTTAATGCTTTGTCTTGTTTTTTCTTTTCTTTTTTTTCTAAAGCACCTTGACCTGGTCCTTTCCTGTACAGTTTACTGCAAAGAACAACAAAAGAAGTAAAACAAGAGACCATAGAAATATGGCAATAAAATAAACATATAAATATTAAGGGAACAAAGAGCTTTTAACGCTAATGCAAAAAATGTGTAACATAAAGTAACGAGCCAAAAATGAGGAAAGCAGTGGCACCAGAAACTAAAACTAAAAGTTAAACAAAAGTGAGTTTGGATTTTGATTCGGTTTAATTTGGTTTGAGTACAGAGACAACTCATTACAAATGTCTCCTCTGGTGAACTTTAACTACAAATGCGACTGAAAAACATCATAATCACATGATCTGAAAAGGAAGCATAATGAGATTTCTCTATTAACCAGTTAAAGATAAAAATACAAAAATAAAAGTGTACTCATAAAAACTGCAGGACATGTGTCGCAGCTCTGAATGTCAATTTAGGACATGTTTACTCTGGTCTGGCCAAAACATTTGCCACACCTGTCCTGATATTCATCACATTCATCTTCTAAGGTAAACTTAAAACGAAACCTCATTTCAAAGACTTTCTAAATTGATTTTTAGAAAAGATTAATCACTTACCTATGTGTTAGGAAGGCGAATGTTTGATAGTAAAGAAGCAAATTTGGACCAAGGTCGTAGTTGTCTTCCTCTCTGTATCGTGTGTGTGGAAGAAACCAGCCGCTGAAACCCGACACCTTGTCAACCTGTTCAACCTGTCAGGCACTTTTAACCCAACAAAGGGCACAGCACAGCTGGGATGTCTTCCCCTTTCACTCTCTAAAATTGTGTCATTTAATTCTTTAACGCTTGTTAAAGAATGCACAATTATTTACGATAAAATGCCAGAGCGGAAAAATGTACATTTTTGACGGTGTTGAAGTTAGCATATGATTCAGCTCTTCCCTAAAGGGCTATTCCGCTGAATTTCATGAGCTCATGACTAACTTCGATAGAGTTTCATGCACCTCGCAGTTGTCCTACATGTTCGTTCTTTCACCATAAAACAAATAAAGGTGGACATGAAAACATGAAATATAAACAATGTACCGCAAACACTCATCTCTAGCCAGTGACATGACTTGGTGAATCAATCTTCGTACTGATATTTAGAGTGAGAAAGTAAGAAATTATGGAATTTCTGGTTTTTGCTTCTATTTTTTTCTGTGAAGTGATGCCTTTATTATCAACAAATAAATCAAGCCTCATTTGAATAAGTTGTATTTTCAAACTAAAGACCGCTTGTTTGAATTGGACTTATTGGCAAAGTCAAAAGCACAAAAAAAGACACCTTAATTATTATTACTTTTTTTGGTTTTCACAAGTTGAATGACTTAACCGTTCTGAATCTTTAGGTTTCGATCTGTAGCGAGTTAAAGGTAAGATTTTCAGTTTTAGAGTGAAATAGCCCTTTACTGAAGGACATACTCGGAATTTACAAACCTGATGCTAACTTCAGAGTTGTGGCTTTTAAGCAACGTTTATGCGAAGAAACAGAACTTGTGATTCTTATCGTTTCCTTTTTTGTCGCCTTGTATTTCAGTATAAACTAAATCCTAATATTTTAATGCTCACTACATAAAACCTTTTGTAAATGTTTTCTCACTGGCATATAAACCGTCAGTCAACAGCAGGAAATGACGTCACTCTGTGCTTAAAAAAATGCTGTAATTGTTATTGTTAGCTTGTTAGCTAGCAGACGAACCGCTGAAATGGCGATATGACTGAGTAATAACGGCTTATTACATATGCACCACTAAGTTATAACTAATCCTAAAGTGGTACGTACCAGTTTCTACGATATATATTTAAAGCAGAGAGATTTTATTAGAACAGAAATTACGGAATTAAAGTACTTATTGTGCACAAAAAACGAAATGGTGATTATAGTGTGGCTACATTTTCTGAGCTAACAGGCTAACCTTGTTTTGAGCTAACTCCTTTCTTCAAGACGCTTCAGACATGTATTTCCCAAACATTTAATCCGAGTGAAATTATTTTTGTTAAATCGAATTTAATTAGCTCTGATTTTTTATTTTTTTTTTGGTCCATCCAGACCAAAAAAAAAAGACACAGGTTAAGGTTCCTCGGTAAACAAAGGTTTAGAAATATTGTCTCTATTATCAATAGCTTTATCAAGACTTACGCTTCATATTTTCTGCATGTGTATTTGTGTCTTGTTGACATTATTTTTGGCTCACTTAACTTTTGTCTGTGGCAGATGGAGGACGGTAACAGGAGTGATGGAGCTTCCACGTCAAAGAGCCATGTAGGCTCTTTTCACCTGCAGAGTAAGGTCCTACTTGTCCCTGTCAAAAGCTCTGTTATTATTGGAAGGAGCAGAGAAACAGACGTTTCCAGTGATGCGTATCCCAGTGCAGGCAGATGGTCTTAATTTTGAGCATTTCTCCCTCACTTGTGATCATTTTTGTCTGATTTTAAAGTTGCGTATTGCACTCTTCCATAACATCACAAAGATAGTAAATAGAGGACTAATGATTTAATGAAGACATCAAGAACATTGACTAAAATAAGTCAACAATGAGTAGAAATAATACAATAATCACAAATATGAACTCAAAACCTGTTGGAACAAAACCCACAGTCCTCTAACAACTTAATAAAATTAGTGAAGAACTAAACTGTGGAATTAGTTATCCAAGTAGTTTTGTATTCTTCTGGACACGGTCACTTTTTGCTCTTTGTGCATTGATTTCTGTTGCTGATAAAAGAAGAAACTGATTATGTACGGGACTGGTTTTATTTAAATTTCTTTTGAAATGCATGAAGAAAGAGTTGGCTGAGAATTTCTAACCCTTCAGCAAAAAAGTTTAGAACAAATGTCTTTGAAGATCCCCAACTGCTGCTTTTATACTATAAAAGGTTTCTAAGAGACTCATCGAGTACAAGGATGCCTTCAGCATAACCCAGTTTTCCTTGGACTTGCACATTATTCATACATCTTTTGTAGCTGGGTCAGCAAACTCCTATTTGATTATTTTACATCTTAGCATTTCAAAAGGAGAAGTCACTGTAGAGTTGCAAAATATACCTCTTGTCTAGTCTTTAACCATGGATGTATTAAAGTATTAGGAAAAGTAATTGTATTTATATTGTACTAAAAATGCAACTCTAAATCAGCAACGATTCTCCAGAACACTTTGGCTCAAGGGAGGTGAGGGAAATTGGCAACAATTTGCTTTAGATTGCAACCTTGTAGTAAATTGCTTCAAGTAAATGTGATTAGCCTGCATTACATCATGAGATATTTGATGATTTTGCCCTTTTTCAGCTCCAAAAAGTGAGGACACTTATGAAATTACCATTCCCTTTGAAGAGAACAACTTTGAGCAGCAGGGATTCTTCAACCAGAGCGATCAGAACTTTGATGGTAAATGTCACACGGTCACACGGTGTAATTGCTTTCACAGCTATTATTTTGTGGTGCAGCACCTGTGAACACTGGAGCTGTTCTTGTCATCCTCAGAACCAGCCTCGAGTGGAGGCCCATCTACAGTCAGTAATTCATACATGGTGATCAACAACCTGCGGACCCAGCTCCAGATCTCTGTGGAGAAAAACTCGTGGCTGCAAAAAAGAATCGAGGATCTGGAGGAGGAGCGGGACTTCCTGCGGTGCCAGTTGGACCGCTTCATCTTTTCCACGAAGAGCCACGGACCGGAACAGGGTCAGAGTCAGTACAGTAACGGTGAGGAAAGACTCTTGTCATCTTAAAACACTGTCAATAATTAGATTAAAGTTGAAACGTTGTTGAAGCGGTTCTTTTTTTTTTTAAATAAAAGTAAAAATTTCCCTTTTTCTGTTTGGATTAAATCAGGATATGAATCAAGACGATTCAACTGGAGGGCAAGAAGAGAGGAAGACCGTCCAGCTGGTAAAAAAAAAAATAAAAAATCACTTATGCTTCTTCATTCCTGCTTGTGGAGCTGTTTGTATATTTATTACATTTTTATGATCTCTAAGTTGCAACCCACTTTGTACTTTTTTTTTTTTTTATAGATCAGCAGAAGGGAGACCAACAGCATTTCCCTCAGCGCCAGTTTGTCCAGCGAAGGCCTGGTCCTCCCACTATGGTTCCTTCCAAAAACCACATCTCCAATCCACTATCCTCTCAGCTCTCTAACATGAATGCTTTGTACAACACAACACAATCACAGGCGCTTTTGCAAGGCCACAGTCACAGCACCTCAAGTACAACAGGCAGTGGCAGCAACAGTAAAAACAGCAATGCTGCAAGATCATCCCTAAACCAACTGGGTGGACGCAATGGCCCAGGTAATACAAATTAAATTATGTATCTACTTATTTGTTTAAATGAGGAAGACCAGAATCTCTTTTTTGTGACTTTGGAGACTTCCAGTGGAAAGTTATAAGATACAAGTGTTATGTTAACATTAACACTTATTAGTAAAATTAAAGAAGTCAGAGTAATATGATACAGATAAAAAGTCCAGTTTAAGAATAGCAATTCTGCTCTTCACTGACAGAGAAGAAGAAGACAAAAATAGTTTTAGGCTTTGTCAGAGATGAAGATGTGGCTAAGTTTTAAAAAAATGCGGTCTTTCAGTCAGTAATATAAATATTGATGGGTGAAATGTTTACATTAGGAGTAATGGAGCAAATCAAGCCAAAAGCAAGTCATTTAAACATGAATTGCAAACACCTGTAAGTATTAAACATTTATATATTTTGCTCCTTTAGAAGCCTGAAAAAGCAGAAAATCAAGCCATACTTCTGTATATTGCTTCTTAATATCTTCAGAAAAATGTGATTATATCCATCTGCAAACACTGTTTTGTCTAAAAACAATCCCAAAGCGGCATCACTCAACCTAATGTCATTAAGACGAATTAACAGCATCCATTGTATTATAGTGTTACTTTAGTGAAGTCAGTGTGTCATACATGTGCCTACTGGGTTTTGTGAAGCAAATTATTTTTCACCCTTACAGATTCCCTCTCACTGCTGGGAGAATCTGATGAGTTCTTGGAGGAGGATGGCTTCATCGAGGAGGACGAAGGGGATGATGTAATGTCAGAGACAATTAGCACCAACAGGCAGCAGTTAAAGAGGAGACGAGTCCTCCGAGCGCCACGAGAGCGACAGAGAGGTGATGCAGAGATCCTGAAAAAAGACTCCGAATTTCAGTGTCATTCAGCCTGCAGCTAACTCTCCTCTGCTTTTCTCTTTGTCAGTGAAAGACGCTGCAGGAGTGCTATTTCGCTATAAGAAGATTCTCCTTACGTACCAGCGCCTCAAAAACATGACCAAGGCCTTCCAAATCCACGGTGTTGACCGCAACACCGTGGCCTCCACCACCCCCATTGCTGAGCTGCATCTCGTGGCCCCTGAGAAAGTGGCCGAAGTGGGAGAGTTTGACTCCTCCAAGGAGAAGCTGCTGGATTACGCCCGACGCTGCTACCTCGCCCTGGACGAAGAGACGCTCAGTAGAGTGCAGGCGTTGAAGAAAAATAACCTCCTGCTGCCCATCTCATACCGATTCAGGCATGAGATGAGCTGATTGATGTCAGCTGTATTGTGGAGGTAGAGACAAGGGGATTCTTTTGAAATGAAAATAAGTGTTTCTGCAATCACAGAGGACTGTGATTATGGTAGTTCTATTGTCATTTGTTCTTCATTTATGTTTTGCAAAGACATTTTTTTATCCTGACGTGAATCTGCTGGAGGGCAGGAGTTCAAACACTACTTTAGATGACTGCAGCGTGTTAAATATCCAAATTTATATTACTTTATTTGTATTCTGCTTTGACACAATCCCGTAAGTGCATAAGCTTCAAGTGTGTTTTTTTTAATTTTATTTTAAGTTGTGACTCATTTTTGGAATACTTTGATGAACAAATTATGCCCATTTCAGGATGATTTTCTTTGCTTTATTTTTACTGTGGCTATATTTAGTGTCATTTTTATTTGCATTAATTAATTTTTATATGATCCACATTTAGAAAAGCTCCATATTGCTGCAGACCTCCTTATTTAAAGATGAGGTGAACAATCAAATGATAATTAGAAAGAAAACGTTCTGGGGCACCATACATCAATCAACAAGTCACTGTTTTTATCGCTAACATTGCATTGTGTCTCAGAAATGTTGGTCGTTTTTATTTATTCTTACCATTGGGAACACCAGTTGCACCTCTGCCTAGTTTTAATGCTGCATTTCTTTCTTTCTTCAAAGGATTCCAAGCAACTTTTGTAAATGACTTTTACTAAGTTACCATAAATGTAACCTCCTATGCTTCTGATATTAGGAATCTTGTATTGTATTGTGAAGTTTTATATATTGTGGATCTGACCAATTCCACTGCATAACACTATGGGTTTGTTTTTTTTTTTTGTAATACCTGTAGGTTTTGGTTCCTTGTAAAAAAAATAATCTGTGGAAACAGCTAAAAATCATCAGCAGAAACAGAGGAACTGTTCTCCACAACATGTGCATGTAAAAAGAGCATTTGTGATCTGTTGTGCGCTCTTCAAATTTCAAGGAAGCTGATTGTAATTTACTATGAAATGCAACTATTTTGGCAGTGAAAACAATTATTTAGGATTTTGTTCTACAGCAAAATAATATTGTGTAACCATGTGTCCATGAGTAAACAGTTCAAGAGCAATAAGGAAGCTTCAAAGTTGACCGAGATTCCTGCCAGTTCACACATTTCCACCTGGGACAGTTTCTACTTGCAGCATGAGTGAAATGGCAGTAAAGCATTTGAATTTATATAAAAATAAAACATTTTATTCTCTCACCTTCAAGAACAAATCTCTCCAATGAGTGCTGATGATTCATTAAGAAATTGTGTTAATAGAAGTGAAATAAACTATTTGTTTTTTCCTCACTAACTGATTTCTCATTTTCATTATGGTGTTGATGTCATTAACTGAGTTTGATGTTTGAAACAAAGTGATTTGCACTGACTTTTTGCTCATGTTTTTAGTCTTACTCGTGATGGGTGAGAAAAGAGAACTACTTCGTTTTCCTAAGTTTCATTTCCCAAGATTCCATGTTAGCGGCCCTCTTATTTAATATCTACATGCCTACGTGCTCCTGCTTGCTGAGATCAAGCAGGAGCATGATCTATGCAAACTGACATTATTTGTCAGTTGTGGCAGCTGACAAGTAATGTCAGTTGCCACAACTATGCAGCTGTGCATTACGCAACGTCACCAGGTGACTATAAACCCATTTAAGCGTTGAGTTGATACACTCAACAAATCAATGCATGGATGTAACGTAATTTTCTCCAGGTGAATAAAAATAAATCTGAAGTGATTATTTTTTTCAGCTCCAAAGAGCTCATTAAGAATCAAAATTCAGCTTCAGTTATTCCAGTTAGAAAATACTGATTGTGTCTGAAACTTGGGTGTCGGTGATGAACTCATGCCTAAACCTTAAGAGACACATAAAGACATTACAAAGCCAGCATTCAATTACCTTAAGAAGATTTCCTAGGATTAAATGACAATTGTCCCTACAAAATCTAGAGAAACTCATCCATGTTTATCTATAGTTGAATTGATTACTGCAACAGTGACTTTACAAGTGTACCTGAAAAATCAATCAGACAGCTGCAGCTGATCCAAAATGCTGCTGCTCGCATTCTCACTAAAACTAGGACAATAAAGCACATCACCCCAGTTCTAAAGTCTTTATATTGGTTTTCTGTATCTCAGTGAATAAATACTTATGCTGGTTTATAAAACACTGAATAGAGTCGCACCAAAATACTTAAAGATCTGTGAATCTTCCAGACCACGGAAGCCTTCTGACTCTAATCTACTCTGCATCCCCCGAATCAGAACCAGATATGGAGAAAGAGCAGTTTATGTTCCTTTAATCTGGAACAAACCCATAGAAAACTACAAAAACACTGACACACTTTTTTTTCTCCTTTAAATCAAGACCAATTAGATATTATTCTATTGCAACGTTGTGTCTTGTCTGTTACTTAATGTCTTCATCATATAAAAAATTTTGAATTTCCTAGGAGCTGAAACCACTACATCAGTGGTTCAAGCTGTGGTGGTGGTGTAAAGGTGAGTGAGGGATTCATTAGCAAACATTGAGCAAACCGAGCATCGTTTGAGTATCACAACCACCTTCGGATGTTGCTGATTATTGTTTCCATTCATAAATGCACGCAGAATAACCATGTTTCTTTTTCATATAAAAAAAATAAAATTGTGAGTTATTTCTACTTATATCCACTTGCATCACTTTCTCTTTAGAGAATGAACAATTGGAAGGCGAGTTTAATCTTCGCCTTTATTCTGACTCGATTGCTGCTGGTAATCTGGATGAGCGGAAACCCCACAGTCATCAACTTCCGATGTCAGGGGCTCCCTGGGAGACGGAGCAGAAAAAGCGGGCATAGCGAAATCTTTATTGTTTTGTATCACGTTTAAACTTCCGAAGGCGCTGATTTCTGGCTTACAAAGTCAAATAACTTCAATTTGTAGGTCAGTGATCCGTTGGGAGTTGCATCTAGCTCGGGAAAGTGTCTCATTCATTCGTCCGTAGTGTGTGTTGCAGCAGGCCTATTCTTCTGGACTTTGCTACAAGCTAGTCGGCTAACGTTAGCAGGCTAACGAGCACGTTTTTCTTTCTGAATCATTCATGTTTGTTACGTTGTAAAATACACACCACAACGCTTTATGCGTGTGTTGGTTATTCGTTTTTGGTAAATCCGTCGTGAAATTATCCGCTCGTCAAAGCTAATTCGTCGAAGGTATTTCAAGCTAACCGCTTGTGTTTAAAAGTGTAGCTCACTTTGTTGCTAGCTGAAGCTAGCCACCGCCGACTGAACAACGCAGTCCCAGAGAGCGTAACAGGCTTCCACCCAGAGATGTCGGACTACGACGAGTTTGAGAGACAGTTGTCTGAAAACAAGCAAGGTAAATAAATTAGCCGCAGAACAGTAAGCAAACAGCAGGTTTATGGGTCAGATTTAAACCGCCGCCATCATTTTAGCCAATCGTGGATGTGACTATTTACAGGGACGCCGAAAGGCTCTTAACTGTCACACAGTCTCAAAGCCCCTCAAGTGTCATGTCTCTGCACCATTGTTCTCAAATTAACTCGGGCAGTTCACTGTAGATTATATAAAACAATGAGCTTATTGAAAACTGGACAGCGGTACTTTTTAAAACTTTGATGTTCACCGTGGGTTTCTCATGCATGGCATCCAGCTGCGCAGTGAACAGTGAATATCAATGTGACACTTATCTTTCATCTACCATCAACATTGCTTTTACAATTTCAGCCGACCACGCCTTTAACATCAGGCCCAAGGCAAGCTTCTCCCAGGGTCCATAAGGATTACATTTTCTTTTATCATTTTCTATATTTGATTAAATACAAAAAAATTTTTTGCATTTTTATTCTAATGGCAAAACTGCACATATTTAGGTAGCACAATAGGTTTTATATTGATTTATGTTAAAATTACATCTTTCAAATATTTGCGCCATCACTCCTGGAGGTTAGAATTTTAGTAAGCATCTTAGCAAACCAGATCTACTTGAAAGGGTTGTAGAATATTTTACAAATACTACCAGGTTGGAAAATAAATGGAGTGGTTTCTTGCTCTAAATAGGTTTATCTCATTAAAACCAAATTATGTCCTGATTTAAACAAGTAATGCAACAGTAAAGGACAGCACCTCAAATATCCAATATTTTACTTTATTTATACCTTCGTGGGTGAACTTAAGTGTAGCCGCAGGAGAGGGAGAGGTAAATGGAACCAGACACTTAACATAAGCAATAATAAGAAAAAGAAGTTGTACAGCAGTGACCAAAATGCAGCGCAAGAAAAAAAAAAACTTCTGCCATGAATAAGTAGCAGATAATGATTCTAGGTTTTCTCTTTAGTATTCATCAGAGGTGAGTTTAAATATTGAGAGGGTGCACTTTTACTTTTGAAAGTTAACTTTGTATCTTATTCCAAAAATACAAAGCAGTCCTATTGCGTTACAAGCTCTTCATTTCCACAGCGGAAAGGGACAAAGAGAACCGCCACCACCGCCGCTCCTCGTCCCGCAGCCGCAGCAGAGAGAGGAAACGGAGGAGCAGAGACAGGGACAGACGCAGCAGGGACCGCCGTGGAGACAGTAAGGAGCGAAGACACAGGCGCAGGTCAGTATGAACGGTCAGCAACGTCAGCAGGCTGATAAACCTCTGTCACCTTACGAACTCTGCAGCTGAACTGCTGTGAAGATTGATTCACTTGACCAAACTAAGCAATTTAAAATATGCAGCTGCACAATCCTGGCTTTTACTTTGACCTAGAAATATTATTTAACTGATGGGACTGCTATTATACTCTAATAATAGCCCCTTGCTCCTGATTCTTAGTTTTGTGCACCAAGCAGACTTGGTATAAAAGACTTTCAACACCCAAACCTATATCTTTGTTTTTGAATACTACTTGAAAATAACAAGACTCTTAGAACCACTGGGGGTTCAATCTGTAACTGGAACATTTAAACTTAGTTCTCCTGAAAATATTGGATAGTTTAAATTATTGAGCTGTTCAAGTTAAAAATATTAGCTGTTCGCATGAATCTTTTCATACAGATGTAAATCTTAGTGTTCTTATACAGCCCATGTCATCCAGAGGCAGCAGATCCGTCTGCTGCAGTAAAAGGAGATGCAGCCATCAGATTTGTGGCTGATGCCATTTTCCAGTTTCCCACTAACTCTAAAAAAATAAATGTTTCAAGTTTCTTGATCATTAATATTTCAATCCAACAGATTAAGTTTATGTTTATTTGTGTATCAAGGTATGTAACTCCAAACGATTTATCGGTTTTATTTCTACTAAAGTCAAAATAAAGTGCATTAAAGAGCCTGCTGTTTTGCAGATTTGCTGACAGACAGAAAACGTTTTTCACCTTTGGTTCCTTTATTAAGCAGCTGAAAAATGTTTGGTTGATTAAAGGGAAAATGGACTGATTTCGATCACCGTAATGGTGATTGAATTACTTTATTCCCTTCTGTAAACAAACATCTGTTTGTTGACCATTAATATCTTCAGCAAACTGCAGGAAAGGAGATGTTAAGAGTAATGCAAATATTAATGGTTTAAACATGTACTCTCTTTTTTAAAAAATATTATTCTGAATCAACTGTCTTTTGATTCCACCTTGTACACAGATGTTTTAGAGACAAACAAATGCCAACAAGCTCTCTTTTATTCCCATTCACATATGTGGGATTGGGATTTGCATGCAACCTCTGGCGAAAGATCCTACATAAGTCACCTCCCACTTTAAAAACACACCTGCATCACATGCTTTCGAATGTAAAATAGCAGCTAACTTCTCAGACTGTTGTAAAATCCTTCAATCTGATGCCCAGATCTGGCGAGTGCGAGGGTAAAAAAAGGGCTCAGCTTTTTTCAAGTGTCAATGTAAACAGTTAAATTGATGTTAAGAGAAATGTCAATCCCTTCCAATGTCATTTCAGCTCACCATCCAGCTACCCCCAAGACAAAGCTGGAAGGTAATACAGCAAACTAACACAAAGCTGGTTTGTGCATTGTTGCAACAACTGCAATTGTCTGTGTTCAGACAGTTTGTACTGTTTTATTCACATAACTGAGTTGGGGGTCCAGTGTTGTATTTTTTTTAATGAATGCAAATTGTCAATAGCTTGTTGTTTTTTGTGCATTTCAGAAAATACAACCTAGTGTCCACTTTGTTGGTCATTTGGTTTTTATGCAGAAAGTTTAGTTGAATTTTAATAACATTCAGCTTAACTCTGTTCAACAGCCGTTCTCCTCATCGTGAGAAGAAGAAGAAGGTGAAGAAGTACTGGGATGTTCCTCCACCGGGTTTTGAACACATCACTCCCATGCAGTACAAAGCCATGCAAGGTATCATTTACCTCCATCCATTTGTGATGGACATCATAATTAGAGTTAAACTTAACCTCCTTGATAAAAAACAACACTAATATCAGGGTTCCTGCACAGTCTGGACAAATAGGGAGATTTATGACATATTTTAAGATCCAGTTAATGTGGAAAAAAAGTAGGATATACTTCCCCGTCCTGTTGTCTAGTCATGCCATCCATCTGCCTGTCCACATATCTGTCCATCACTCACCAAATATTGATGAAACGGTGAGATGCATAAAAAAAGTTTCTAGGTTTTTAAATATTTTTTTTCTTTATCTCCCAGCGGCCGGACAGATCCCAGCCACGGCCCTGCTGCCCACCATGACCCCAGATGGCCTGGCTGTTACCCCCACCCCAGTGCCTGTGGTGGGCAGTCAGATGACCCGGCAGGCTCGCCGCCTCTATGTGGGCAACATCCCATTTGGCATCACAGAGGTGAAAACTCCTTCATTAATCATGTTTGTGCTAATACATTGTCATTTTAAATAAACTACAAAAAAGTTGAACTAATTTACTGATCTTTTCCCTCTTTTCAACCTAGGAATCTATGATGGACTTTTTTAATGCTCAGATGCGTTTGGGGGGTCTGACTCAGGCCCCTGGGAATCCTGTGCTTGCAGTACAGATCAACCAGGATAAGAACTTTGCCTTCCTGGAGGTATGGACTTATTACAGGGACCATCGTTTGTGATTAGATGTAAAAATCAATTCGTGTTTGATTACATCATTTTTCTGTGCAGTTCCGTTCGGTGGATGAAACAACACAGGCGATGGCCTTTGATGGCATCATCTTTCAAGGCCAGAGCCTGAAAATCCGCCGCCCGCACGATTACCAGCCTCTGCCTGGCATGAGCGAGAACCCCAGTGTCTATGTGCCGGGTACACAGACAATTAATGGTTTTTAACCTCAGTTGCTTGTCACATTTCATTAATATTCATAAAATTCTCCACATAGCCATGACCTGTAATCATCTGATGTGATGTTTTTGCTTCCATCCTTGAACATGATGCAGGTGTGGTGTCCACAGTGGTGCCAGATTCGGCTCACAAGCTCTTTATAGGTGGTTTGCCAAACTACCTGAATGATGACCAGGTCAGTGTGTTTACCTTTAAGCTGGAATCCAAGGCATAATCTAATGCGCTTTTCAGTTTTCACAAGCCTTGAAATGTTAGAAATTAACCGAATGTAAGCTAACGGATCCTATATTTGTAAGCAATACGACTCAACGTAAGAACATTGTGTTTTTCTAGGTGAAGGAACTGTTGACATCATTTGGCCCGCTGAAGGCCTTTAATCTGGTGAAAGACAGCGCCACAGGCCTGTCTAAAGGATACGCTTTCTGTGAATATGTTGACGTCAACTTGAATGATCAGGTAATGGGTCATGACAGAGGAAAATGTGCATCAGTGGAGCTTTTTTCAGGAGGGTGTAAATAATCGTTGGTATCTTTGCAGGCTATTGCCGGGCTGAACGGCATGCAGCTGGGAGACAAGAAGCTCCTGGTGCAGAGAGCCAGTGTGGGCTCCAAGAACGCCACTCTGGTGAGTTTCCAGCTGCTGGCAGCAGAATAGTGGGAAAATAATTTTTTATTGTTTAGCCTTTTTCAAAACATAAGAAAAATTCTCCTGTCTGATGTTCATGATGGTAGGGAAAAATACGCCACTGTTTCTTTTAAATATGGAATGTACTGCAATGTTTTCCCTCCAGACCTTGTTTTCATCACAGATGATAGTTTTCCTCTTAGTTTGTGGAAATTATGTTGCTAAACAGTAAAATAAAAATCCAAAATAAACTATAAATGGTAAACATGGAATATTTTGTTGGTTCTTCTAACAGCTTACAAGTTAAGTCATGCAGTTTTCATAATAGCATTGCAAAAAACTCACATCCCTGACCTCCTAAAATGCAGATTTTTGTTCTAGTGCAGTAATAAGGAAGTGAATGAACAGTACATTGCTCACCTTTCAGCTGTGGTGTTTTTAAATGACATTTAATAGTGAACATGACTGTGTTTATCCTCTAGTGCAGAACAGAAGGGCTGCCAATATGGTGGGGTGGCTGTAAATATGACATGTCAGATTGGTTGTTGATGTGGAAGATGTTTCTGCATGCTTAAAGCAACCTGGTTCCAAATAAATTTAACCTTTTTGCAATCTGTGGGTTTTTTTTCTTCCAGACAACCATAAACCAGACGCCTGTGACGCTGCAGGTACCGGGTCTGAACAGCTCTGTGACTCAGATGGGTGGCCTGCCCACCGAAGTGCTGTGTCTGATGAACATGGTGGCCCCAGAGGAGCTCCTGGATGACGAAGAATATGAGGAGATCGTGGAAGACGTGAGGGAGGAGTGCAGCAAGTACGGCCAAGTCAAGAGCATCGAGATCCCTCGCCCTGTGGACGGCCTGGAGGTGCCCGGGACCGGCAAGGTAGGCGGCGTTCGAAATCCAGATTTGTACATTTCTGCATTTAGTCACGTTACAACCAGATATTTAGTTTGGATTTTATGTAATGGATTAACACAAAATAGTGGGAGGTGGAGAGAAAAAGATCTCAGAATGTCTCAAACATGAAAGATGTGGCATATATTTGATTTTCAGGGTCCATGCATCCTTTAAAAGTCTGAAAGTCATGCATCTAAAATTAAGGCCATAAAATGTCTAAAATTCCTTAAAAACAGAACTATTTAACCTTGAATATTCTATGTAGATTTTTTTTTCCACTGAAATTTTTTGTCAGGCTTAATTTGAGTCACCCGCACACATCTTTAGTGTGTTCTGTGACTCGGGCGGTTGAAGTTAGCTGTATGAGGATTGTAGCATGACAACATATGAGAAAGCTCAAGAAAGATGAATGTTTGTGGCAAGTCATGGTCTTCAGTGTTTTCTCCCCCTCTTTTTTCCCAGATCTTTGTGGAGTTTACTTCAGTTTTTGACTCCCAGAAGGCCATGCAGGGGCTGACAGGAAGGAAGTTTGCCAACAGGGTGGTCGTGACAAAATACTGCGATCCAGATGCTTATCACCGCCGGGACTTCTGGTAGATGGGGTGGTGGGTAACTGTTTGGGGGGCGGGGGGAGGGACGGTAATGTTATGTAAATTGCCCATTTCCAGACCAGCCCTGGGAGTAATTCGGTTGAGCAACATTTCAGGTAGATCTTTGACTTTTAATCATTTGACGAATGACTTCTGTGATATTCAGTTTATTGTTTCAGATCTACATGACATGTCCAGCTGTTAAAACCTATATTTGTGATCGTGAGGGATGAAGGTCGGGGTTTATAATGAATGCATAACAGAGCTAGGTTTGGGTAATAGTTGTGTAGCTGGGTGGGTGGGGAAGGCCATGAGGATTTTTGAGAAATGTGTGTATTAAAAAAGGGCCAGGGGTGGGGTTTACAGTTTCTTTTCTTTTTATACTTTGTCCGACCTGAGTGTCTGCTTTGAGAGAAAGTTGGAAGGGAGGGGAACTCCTTACTTTAAAGGTTTGTATTTAAAGCCTGTTTTAAATAAATTCAAAAGGAGCTGCCGTACAGAACGACAAGACAATTCTGACTGAAAAGAGTAGAGGAGAAAAAAGTATGGAGTATGCGTTTGTGAAAGGGAGAGGAAGCAGAAGAAGAAGGGCATTTTCAGTTGATTTAATGTAGATACACGGTAGCTGTAAGAACATCCACTTGTTTGTCATCAGCGATGGAGAGGAAAATTGTTTTATTTCTGTTATCTCTTTGTGTTCCTTCGTTTAATCACTCTGCTGCCCCTCCGTCTGATTGGACTCTGATTGTCAGCTGTAATCGTTCTGATATGTGCGTAGCTTCTCTGATTCGAGCTGTAATGTCACCTTGTATTCAGTCTGCAAAGTAACACAAACTGCTGAAAGAAAAATTTCAATGATTCCATTTGCATTTTCTTTCTTTTTCTTCCTGTAACTTTTCATGCCCAGGTTTTGTTTTGTGAACTGCTCTTTATATTTTGACCCTGATTCAGAATAAGACAACAGAGAAAACAAAAAGCAGATTTCTATTCAGTGAATGAGGAGGGGATACATCTCATCTTTTACCAGCAGGCCTTAACGTTATTAAATCAATTTGCTTTGGAGAGAAATTTGGCTTGCCTCTCTTTCAGTGATGTCTGTACTTTCATACGTGTCACAATCTTGTACCCTGGACAGCTCGGTTTTCTTCTTGGATGTTAAATGTGTTGGATCCAGTACGTTTTTGTGCAACATCTCACCTTCTTTGACAAGACCAAATAAACACATGACTAAAATCCCACGACTCATGTTGTCCTGCAAAATGAAACCAAATTCAGCCGTTTTATGTCTGTCAGCAGATTTATCAAATTAATGCATTTATTGGCCAACACTGGCCTGTTCCATAACATTTGGACTCTGTACAGATGAATCAGGCCTGTTTCTGCTGCAGTCAGGATGTTGCAACATGCTGTATGCCCCAACCAACTCATTTCTACCACTCCCTCAGTCCTTTCACTTTTATTCCTGAAGGACCACGTTTCACACTGTCTGGGCTTGATGATAAAACTTTCATTTCAAATTCACGGCTCCGCGAGATGGCGCTTAAGAGTGTGGCAGAAATAACACTTTTGAAATGTTACTCCTTACTTTTTCAAAGTCTTCTGTGTCTGTGTCGATTTCATTTTTTTTTCCTCTGAAAACAAACGTGATTTCTTAAATGATTTAAACCTATTAAAAAAAGCAGCATCTAGTTTGTACAAGCAGTCTTTTGTTTGTCCAGTTTGTTTCCAAATGTTGATTAAAAGCTGAATTTACATGACTGCTGCCTGTTTTTTTTTTCTTTAATCATGCACCCTCATGGTTGGCTCCACACTAGAAAAGTCTGGGGTCTTCATTCAGTTAATACCGTTTAAAAACATCCTTGTACTTAACAGTAATGTCCAAGTGATGGCGCTATTTCACAGGCACAGCTGGTTAAAATTTGTATTTACGGAATGCTGTTTTTTTAGGTTTTCAATATTTTTCTTTATTTTAACACTTCAAGATAAATTTAATCTTTAAATAGGTCAAATATGATTTACAAAGTTTAGAAAATGTCCATTACGAAAAAAATCTAAAATGTTTTTTTTTATTTTTTTTTATAGCTTTACTGCTTTAGACCAAACTTTTTTTTTTTTTTTTTTTTTTAGCTCAGATTAAAATTGAAGTGCTTTAAAGTCTAAACGCTCTTCACATTTTCACTTTTAGGCCCCTAATTTGGGCACAAATTGCACATATGATGGTCTAAAAATAAAATAAAAAGACATGTTTACATAACATAAATCTAAATGACATTATCTTCTTCCATAAGGTCATGTAATATTTGCAGCTGCAATATGAGTTTTATTTTGCTCCACTGAGGGTGAAAATTCCTCTGTCCATCGTAAAGGTTGGATAACCGTGTTCTAGTTACCAGCATTAAACATCCTTAAATGTCATGGATTTCTTTTGAGCAATCATATTTTAATCACCAAATGTTTTGCTTCACCCTCAAGTTACATGTTTAGACTGAATCAGTAAATATATTTCAAAGACAAGGTTACATTTCTAACTTCAACATTTGGTCCATCCGTGGAGTCAAGTGCAGCATTTAAATGTTATTTGAGCCAGAACAGGCCAGACTAACTTAGTTGGTTTCAATCACACACTGAAAACTACGATTCGGGTTCAATATACCTTCATTACGGCGACAGAAGAAATGTATTTAATTAATAATGAACCACTGACTTTAAATTTTGGCTAATATACATTACAACTGGTACATTTCCTAGTTCATTTTCATCCTAAATACATGGAAATGTTACAAATTAAAATAATTTAAAATCTCCTCATGAACCTTCAAATATACAAGTGGAAGGACAGCTGAGTGCTCTTGGCGCCCCCTGTTGACCCGTGTCCCAGTTTGCTTGTGATTTGTGCTGGCACTGGTCAGGTTTATTTCTTCTAACATCTATTTTTAAACCAGTGCTTCCTGATATTTTTGAAGATGGTGCATTTTTTTTCAAAATGATGTAGGTTGAGCTATTGTTGTCTGCACCTATTTATAAATCGCCTACACAAAGATAATGAAATCTCCCAATCGCTGCTGTTCGCTGGCATACAGACACATTCTCAGCCAGCAGTAATGAAAGCCATAAGGAGCGACCTGACTTACTCAATAGGGAGTTCATGTAAAACAGTTATAGTAAAGCAGCCATGCTCTGACATGGAATAATGGCCTGTGTCAGCTCTATACCACCCATCTTCATCCGCATGGCTGCACTCCACTGCACTAGACCCAGAGGCAGGGTCTGTGATGCAGCACTCTGTGCCCGGCTGCTCCCTGAGGACGGAGCTGGAGCATCAGAGCTTTCGTGCATCTGAAACCTTTTACACATCAGAGCTCGCATGTAAAACCTCACCCAGCCACACCTACAGACCTGAAGATTCCTCTGACCAATATGAGAGGCCCAACATGTTATTACTGTCCCCTCTCCCACCCTGGGGCTGCAGCGAGGATTGTAAAGTCATTGTCGCCCTCTAATGGTGAATGTGTGACTGGCAGTGATCATTGACATTCCGGGCAGAGCTTCCTCATTGATCTTCATTCAGAAAGATAGAACACTGCCGCAGCGGGAGTGCAACACTGGAGCTGGATGCGGTATCTGTGAGCAATATCCAGTGTTTATTCTACACACAGGGGGTTAAACTCTGCAAATCATCTTCTGGAGAGGGGCTCTGTACCAGCTAAACACATAAATGTTATTAATATGATGCAAAGTCTTTAATATGGAAATTAAAACTACGGAGATAGATGAGATACTTTGAGATGCTTCATTTGGTCCTGTGCATGCTGCATCGATGTTAGACATGCTTCAACATGATAGTCAATCATTACTGTCCGTAGCCAAGTATTTATAACAACAAAAAGCAAAGAACGTAATGAACTTATTTTGTTTGAAGTGTCCTTCCACTTGTCTTCAATTAATAAGTGAAAGTCTTGGTTGAACTTGTTAGAATACATCTGAACTTTGCCGTTATGTAAAGAATAGAGGGTGTCACATTTGTACACATTTTGGAGAGGGTGTGTAAAACATAAAAAAACTATCTCACCCTCCATACAACGTAGGAGCTCCAGCAGAAAAATCTTCACCACTTTTCAGTATAGATGTTTTGGAACCACTAAAAGCATCTGTTTTATTGATCTGAGAATACAATGTGCTGCAAATGGGCAGATGAGTGCAGACAAATAAAAAAATCATTTTAAAATGAATTCAGACATGATCTGGAGTCCACTGAGGGCAAACTAGTAATGGCGCAATCAAACCATACCAGTTAAATAAAAGAGACCATGACAGTAAGTGAGGTGCAAGGTTAAAAAGCATGTATTTATGTCTCCAGGCTGCATTGAAAAGACTTCATTCTTGACAAACAGTGGAGACTTTTCCAGTGTCTCCTGCATGATTTGTCTTTTTTATGAGGATGGCTGTTTTCTTCTTAGTCTCTTCAACAAGGCAAAATTTGTGTACTGGTCCTGTAAACAGACTCTTACACCTAAGTTGTGGATCTCTGCAGCTCCCCCAGCGGTACTAACTCCTGTTTGTTGCTTCTCTGATCAGTGAGTTGAGATTTGTGGCTCTAATGTCAAAAAGGTTGCATAGTTAAGTCGTAAGAATCCTTTTTGAATGCACTGTGGCTTTCAAATATGTGATAAACAACATTATAAACCTATGTTGATTCATGTTGGGCTTACAGCTAGGCTTAACTCTTTAGTTCTTTAATGTGATGTATTTTATTGGGAAAAATTGCCCACACAGGCGAACACATGTAAGTCATGCAGAGTGTTGAAGCATAAATCGCTGCCGCCGACAGAAGCCCAAGAGTGATGTAGAGACAAGATTGTTCACATCAGCATGCTGCAGATTATTAATGGCTTCTGACTGTCTTTGGACATTTTCCATCCATCTCACATGATGGAGGAGCGGCGAGACTCTGTGAACTCAGGTGCTGCGAAGGATCGACACACTATTCGCATTAAAACAGATTGCTGTCCTTTCAGCTAATAGATTAATTACAGGTTGAACATATGTGACTTCTCGGAGGAAAGTTCATCTACTGAGACGGTGTGCAATCTCAGTGAACATCAGCTATTTTGAAAGGCTTCAATGTTCATAACTATGAGTGTTGCTCATCAGGAAGAACATGTGAGAACCTTTTGATATTCTATAATAATTAAAATTCCCCTTAAGAAAATCTGACTTCTATGAAAGTATAGGATGTTAAGTTAAGTGTTCGGTGAAAGAAAAAAATGGGGGAGATGCCAAACGCATTTTCAACTAAAGAACAAATTATGTTTATGAGTTGGAAATATTTTCAAAAACTTGAGAACAATTGCTTCATGGCATCTGTGAGACAGAGCTAAAGTGGGCAGCGGAGCAGAGTCTCTGGAGATGAAAGGTCAAAACTTAGAGGTGTGTGTCATTTCGGGGGGGTTTGATAGTTTGGGATGAGGCAGGTGTATCTTTTGTTGTAACAGCCTACAGCTTGTTTCGTCCTTTTTCTCTGATTTTGTCCCGTTCTGTTTTTCTGTGCCCGACTCACTTTCAGTTTGCATCCTTTCTCAATCCCAACCCCCATCCCTCAGCGCTCACTGGCTGCCGGGTTTGGCCTCTCTCTCTCTAACTCTGTGTGCCACGTATGTAACCTAAACTGTGGAACAGCCAAGCAGGACGGAGCTATGAGAAAACCTTTCCAGCAGGAAGTTAAACTCACAAAAAAACTCTAATTCGGGTTAGCCGTTGCTACACCAGCCTGAAATGTTCCTTTAACATGTTTCAAACTCATCTCGTCTCCCACTTTCCTCTCTTTTTTTTCTCCAGCTGCACTTTTTTCTGGACGTGCCTCTCTGTTTCCATGTCAGTGTGCTGTGTAGCTGCCCGTCTCATATAAACACAGGCTCCTCCCTCGCCCTGACTTAATGTCATTAACAGGTGGCTGTCAAAAATAGACACACACACAGTGACAGTAGGGCGGTCGCAGGCATGTTTTCACCCACGCTGGCAGAACCTTCAGCATGACAGCAGACCACCCTGAAGCACCTATCCTCCCTGATTTAAAATTTCAAACATGCATGGAGCACGAACAGGGGTGCCTTTCAGACTGAACATGAGCTGCAAGCACAGTCGGTGGACCAAAACAGCAGCAACACATCAATAGTGCTAACCAACCAGGCTGCAGCTCCAACCCCAACTTACACCCACTTTCCATAGCTCCTCTGTACCTCCCTCCCTTCACTTCCTCCCCCTTTTCCCCTTTTCACTACCTCTCCCATCACCACTCTGCCCCTCTATTAGGTTTCAGGCACCTCTTCCTCCTCAACTGAACAACACGCACCAAACAGGTCAGATTTATTCTTCTTTTCACTCACACGCCTCAGCCTGATGTCACTCTGTGGCGGCCACTCATCACACAGACGGAGGCATAGAGAGAATTCCTGATTTTCACAACAAAATCTGCACGTGTCTGCACAAGCTTGTCCTCCGCGCAGCTCACTGTGGAAGTAAACGTAGCAGAGCTACAACAAAACTAATTTTCAGTGCTTTGACTGGAAGAATTAAAAGTTCCAAAGCAAGTATTTGTTTGCATCACTTGCATTTGGAACAGCTTGGATGGTATCTGTGGTTAACAGAATGGTAATGTGATCGAGGTTTGTAACTCTACCTCCACTAACTTGGCTGTCAGTAGCTGTATTCTAGAGATTCTCTATTGCTGCTGGTGTTGAAAATGGGCTCTAATTGATTAAGGTCTTTGCTTCTGCCTTGCTGAGGTCCAACTGCAAACTTTTGTTTGAACTCAAGTTTGTAGATTTGTGTGAAATATGTAAAACATACATAAATAAAATATAATTTAAGCCACAAGTGGACATTAGTTGGACAAAAATGTGAAAACAGGGTATTTCTCTGTGAATAAAATAGGCTATTAGCCATAGTTTTTAAAGAGGAACAACTCCTTTTTATTTAATCAAATAAATCAAATCTAATATAATATAACTGAGCAAAAGCAAAACATTTGTATGGCAGTTGTTCCCAGATTTTTATATTTGCTTTTTTACAACCTTAAATCAAACTAAGCTTTTCCTGTTTTACCTCACTTTCTTCAAATATTGAGATGTTTATTATTATTATTTTTTTTTAAAGTTAAAAAAATCTAAGATAATCATGCTTTAAACATTTTCGGAAAGAGATGTCATGGCTGTGTAAGATTCTGATTAATTCACAACGTTTGAGTTATAAAAGACGCACCTATAGATGAATTGTAAGCCAAAACATCAAACACAATGCTTTCTTGTGTGACGTCATGGAAAACTCATAAGACAACAGTAAAGAAATCAGGATAAACTATTTGGAGCTCCACAGGTCCATTTAAATTTCCAGAAGCCTGAAGAAACCGCATTCATCTGTGCAAACAATCATCATGGGAATGTCTAGTTGTCTCACTGCTCTGATAGGAGATGGCTTCTGTGTCCCAGAGATTAAAGTGCTTTACTAAAACAGAATAAATACTCAGAATAAAAGCTGAAACTTATTAAAATGCTGTCTGCGACTAGAAAGAGAGCGTCATTGTCCAGTAGAACAAGTGCTGTGCTAAAATAGGCTGAGTGGACTCTTAGAAGGACCAAGGGCATGTACCGACATGAAGATGCCATTACCCCGAGCGCAACGTGAAAACCCAGTTCATAGTTTACCAATACATCCAAGGACAAAGACCTTAAGTTTTAGAAACACATCCTTTAGACTAAAATGGAACTTTTTTGGACATAATCAACATTGCTGCATTTGGAGGAAAAAGTGGGGAAGCTTGCAAGTCTGCAAACACCATCCTATCTGTGAATTATGAAGGGGGCAGTATAATACTGCAGAGGGAGGGTTGCTGCACTTCACAGAATCTGTGACATCATGAGGTAAAAATGCTGTGCAGAAAATTACATAAGTACAAATGAAATTCCATCAAACTATCATAAGAAGCTCAATCCAAGTTAAAGACAGTGGAAAACATCAATTCTATTAAATAGTTAGAAAATCTATGTATTTTTAAAATGCTTGTTTTGTTGTTATTTAGCATATGTAAACAATCCATACAGGAAAAGTTTGATTAATGTGAAATAATGGGGAAGACTTTATTTTATCCTTTCATAATGAATGTCTTGTTTAAGCTGTATATCAAACTATAAATTGCAGACTGCTTCATAAAAGCCATGTGCTGTAATAACAAAATAGCATTGTGTAAATGATTGATAAATAGAGTTTTCACAATGCTAAAATGAGATTAAAAAGAAAATCTGGGCTGATGTTTTTCATCTGGTAGTTCAGATTTGTTCAGCTCTGACATTAAATTAAAATTTTATTGACATCAAATAAAAAAATTAAAAAAAGACCCATTTTTGATGAATGTAAATAGTTTCTTAGTTTAAACCTGGTTCTGGTCACTAATCTTATTATAACAGTATTTTTTTTTTTTTTTTTTAGCAAAATTATATATATTTTTTTTTATTAAAATATATTCCATTTGCTTTTCAATTTACTCAGTAGCCCAACAGATTTGCAGGTTAGAGCTCAGCGACATGTTGATATTACTGCTTCTGAAAATCATTTTGTGGTTATTTAAGCTCTTATTGTTGTGGAAACCGGCTGTTATGACCAATGAGTCAGGCTTTCAGAAGATGGTTGCCATGAAAATAATGACTGTAAAAATGGTTTGCTATATATATATATATATATATATATATATATATTATATATATATATATATAAATATTTTTTTATAAAATCCCTCACAATGTTTGCGCTTGAATTTTTTTTTTTATTTCTCATGTGACAGCGCATACTGTCATGATACTCCTGAATAACTGCACATGGAGGACTTTCAGTGAGAGGGTTCACATGTTGTGTTGACTATTTAAAACTGCTGATGGTGTCATGGCAAAGCTCTGAATTAAGTGATCCAACAACTGCGAATGAGGCCTGCTGGTGCTGGCCCCCTGCCTCCTCTCGGCGTACTGCTGGACGACACGGCCGAGTTAATTACTGCAGCCCCCTCTCTGTCAGAGGGCTCAGGCTTAAATTATCACCTCTAATGCACCCCTGCACATGGCAGCAGCACTCTTGTGCCCGGTTGTTTGCATTGTTAACCACATTCACTCGTATTAAGAAACAACTTAATACCGTGCCCTGCAGAAGTATTCACACCCTTGAACTTTTATAAATTGCGTCATGCGAATACTACAACCTTTAATGTTTTATAACTAAAGTGAAAGAAAGTGATTGGTTCAAAATCTGAAAAGTTATTCAAACTAAAACTTCATTATTTGCTTTTGCGACAAATTTTGTTTATTCCTTTATTACACCACATTCAAACTCAAACCGCCTTGAACATACAGCACAGTCAAAGTTCAGACCTAAATTCATTGAAGCACTTATATCAAGACATGAAAAATGGCTTTCACACAATCTCCATCAATTCTGTCTCAGCTTGATCTACTTTACACACCCTCTTTTTGTGCAAAGTTGGTAGAAAAGTACACCAAAAGACTTGCAGCTGGAATTATAGCAATAGGCCATCCTACAAATTCATAACTCTGGAGGGCTGAATAAAAATACAGGCCACACTTGTCAGATTTTTATTTGTCAAAATAAAAATGTACACTGTAACTTCCTTTTTAGTTATTTCCTTCTTCGTGTTTAAGTGTTACATAAACTCAGTAAGATACAGAGATGTTTATGTTACAGTGATAAAATGTGAAACAGGGACTGTAAGGTCAAGACCCTGTAAGCTGGTTCTGGAGTTTTACATCTCGAAGACGTTTGGAGTGTTCGCCAGGGAGCACAAAGCAGGTTGTGGGGTATTTGTAGCAACCATTCATCCCCTCAGATCAAAGAGGATCTGTCTCTGAGCTGCAGATAGCGTACCTGCTCAGGGAGAAGCTCTGCTGAGGAAACAAAGATGGGTGGTCCCAGTCATCTCTCACCTTGACACAACACAAACCCACCCTGCTAGCTCTTCCACACCCATTGTTTCTTCATCTGAAGCAGAATCTGCCTCTGAGAGAAATGCCATCTGCTTTATCTGCTGTTGGCTGAGAGCATGTCATATGGCTTTTAGGGAGGGAATATTGTGGAGGCTGATAAAGCTGGTGGAAATTAAATATTATGCTGGTGATGAAAGGATTTTGCTCTGGTGAAGCATATGCTGGCTGCTCTTTCATCTTTGTGTTTTATCTCTGTGTTTCAGAAGATTGGACGAAAAAAGAAAAAAAAACCACGCAGACTGGCTCTCCTGGTCCTTCTGTGTTTCATCCCATCGTATTGTTACCTTAGTGCATCAGCCCAACATCACTGCAGATCTATTCATAGCTCCTTGTGTCTAATTTCAGCATCCAGCCCACTTTTTCTTTTTTTTTTTTAACTAAATTTCTCACAGTTTTTGCTCAATTCACTCATCCAGAAAAGCACAGCTGTGTCACACAGTCGTTACAGAGTTACAACCATCCGTCTCGCATACACTTCATACTGAATCCCTCATTTGTTCCTCTCGTCTTTTTCCTGTGATCTCTGCTGCTCCTCGTCTCTGGCCAGTATGTGGTCCAACTTTTTTGTGCAGCAGGATGAGGAGGGCCGCATGGGGGCCGCAGGGGGCGGTCAGGGCGGGGGTCTGGCCGGAATGAAGGGTTTTAGAGGAGGACAAAGAAGGACCAACAAGATGAGTGACAGCCAGGAGGGTAAGATCAAGCTGGTCTTTTTTGTGGCGATCGTTGGGGTGACCCTGACAGTGCTGGGTATGGGAACAGAGTTCTGGGTAGAGCTGGCCCAGCCAAAGAATTACAGTGGCAACCAGACCTGCCAGGTGGCCCACTACGGCCTGTGGAAGGGCTGCATCCGCACCCTGTGGGTGGCCGACATCGACCCGGAGAGGACGAGTTGTGGTCCTGCTGAACTACCTGGAGGTGAGATCAATGGCTGCTGAGTCTGTGGTCGTCTGTCTGCTTCGTGAGTGAATGGGTCTGACTCTGTGGGGATTTCTTAGCTCTCCATGAATGCTCCAAGAAAGCCCAGTGTGAAAAAGGGATAAGTTACAGACGTTGTTACCAACACCTAAATAGTCTTTTCATAGATTTTAGACTTAATTTTTGCAATTTATCCAACACATTTCATTACAATTTCCTTTTTTCTTTAGATTTCTGCCCTGCTTCCCTCTGTTGTAAAATGCAGGAACATAAAACTGTAGACAAACATACGTACATACATACCTGTATGTACGTCATCATACAGATAATGCGAATACTGAATCATTAAAGATATGGAAACGTATGCAGTAAAATTACACTGCTGTTGCAGTGTATATTTTATTTTTCCTATCTAATCAAAACAACACTGAAATAATGATTTCGTTTCAATCGAATCTGACTAAACTTGAGCTTTACTGCTAAGAATGACCAAAAATGAAAAGCGTTTGCAATAGAAACATATTCATGTGAGCAGAATAGGAGCGTATAGCCATATTTTCTAGATTTTCATTTGTAATAAATTTTTCACAATTATTCGCTACTTGGTGTTGGTCTATGTTGATAAAATGTATCTATGTTTGCTGCTGTCCAGGTATGAATATATTTACAAAACCCTGCTTATAACCTGTCATGTCCTGTTGTACATTAGGTGATAAAGGCCACAGGTTTTTTGTTTTGACAGACAACCGTGTTTACTGTAGTGACGGCTCCTTTCCAATAGCGCTTTATGCCACTTGACCGTGGCTGGGCTCTCCAGAGATTATCTGCACAATGACCTATTTCTGTCTGAAAGGTTAGTTTAGACATGGAGAGAAGCATTTGCTGAAAAACCTCCTGGATTCACTGACATCTCAGGGAATTTCTCAAGAGAAAAATAAACATTTTCCTCACAGACATCAAAATGAAGAAGTGTGTGATCCTTCTCAGCCAGCCTGGGAAAATTTACTCTACGGTGATGGACAGAAGGCTTCGACCATTAGCCTCAGATTCAGGAGGAGCAGTGTTGCTTTTCTCTTGGCCACGGAGGAGAGAAGACGAGATCTTTGCCTCCCCAGAGTTGCTGAGGTTGTCAAGGTGGTTTGGTTGTCCAGTCCAAATGTATTCTGGGGATCTATAGAAGGCTGTGAGCTGCATCCCCTGAAATTTCTTGTGGTAAGTGAAACAAGAACTCTATCTGCAGTCTTGGCACAAAGTTGAACTCTGCCAGGGCTGCTTCTCATCCACAACCCTGTTAATGATCCACAATACTTAAAAAAATATATTCTTGAGATTGCTGAGACAAAGGGAGAACTCATTGGAAAGTGTGTGCCTTGCTATATTTGCCCTAAAACTAACATATCAGTCTTACAGATATTTCCTGACAAAGTATTGGAAGTATGATGGGGTTGCTTTGCTGTTGGAACGATAAATTCTGGAAAATCCAAAGGGATTGAATTGTGCAGTAGGACCTTGATTTGAATCGTGTACACCTCTGAATGGCTCAATGAAGCTTCAAAAGTGGCCTAATTGACGTCTGGACTTAAATCCAACTCTTTGCCAGTATCTCAAATAGTTGGGAGCAACTAGGTTTTGACACAGGGGTATGTTCTGGATCGCCGGCTGTTTCTGGCCAGCAGATCTGACTACAAGATGGTTTGTTGATGTGTGTGAGAATCCAGATTGTCAGGAGCCAGCATGCTCCTGACAATCTCTTTCTCACGTCCTTCCACAGTTGGCCAAGGCTGCCTGTCACAGATGGCTGTTAGCTCATCACATTTGTAGAAAAACAACTGTTTTCACCATCCTCTGCCTTTTCCCTCTCGTATCAATGTTTACGCGCCTCTGGCTGCCAGCCCGGCCTGCTGATGTTGCGTCTGTCATCTTAAGACCAGCAATCCATCTTCGTTGCCCGCTGGACCGAGAAAGTGACGGCTCAATAATTACAGTCTCAGCAGGGGTTGCGAGAGCAAAAAAAAAAAAAAAAAAAAAAAAAAAACAAACAAGCTGACTGTGGAAGCGTAATGTGTGACAGAATCAGCGGGCTGATAAATGCCGGATCAGTTTTCAGAGCTTGCACGTGGGCTAAAGCCATGTTTGTGTGTGGAGAAACTGTAGTCATCTTGGACAACATGATTTTTTTCTGTGGGTTAAAATCATCACTATGCGCCTGTGAAGCCAAGTGGAATCTGTCTACTTCACAGTTTTTGTCTAAATATAGAGGGGGGGATAGAGGGGACAAGGAAGAGGGACAGACAGACAGACAGACAGACAGAGACGGAGAGTGTGTGTCTAATGCAGTATTAACCAACCCCTCTGTGTTTTCTCTCCCTCCTGACTTCTCCTCCTCCCTTCACCTCCTTCTCCATCTGTGGCTCTCCTCTCTCCTTGCCTTCACTCACCACCCCTCAATCTGCCTGAAATGCACTCCTCCATATTCGCTTATATCCCATCCTTTGAACTCTTCGTCTTGTTTTCTATCCCTCTGCCGCCACGACTCCTCGTCACAATATGCACCATTCTCTCAGTCTTCCTTTCTTTCTCCTCTCTGCTATTTATCCTAATGTTTTGCTGTCTCTCACTGTCTCTGGCTGCACCTTATGTGCAGTAGTATGAGATGTATGTGTGTTTGCACAGAGGTGTGTGTGTGTGTCTATTTTTTTAAGCCCGACTCTTGGATATAAATAGGAATGATGCCTGGAAGGACAGAGTGCATGGATGCGCATAGTAGGCACATCAGAGGAGACCAGCAACCATCCAGAGGAATGTGTGTGTGTGTCTTGGTCTTATCTTCTGTTTGTACCCACAGAATCCAACTGCACCTACTTCAAGTTCTTCACCTCTGGGGAGAACGCAGTCATATTCAAGAAGACGACAAACAGAAGTGAGACATGTTTACCCTCTTTACTCCACCGCTTTCTGATGAACACACACTGGTTACACCTACCGTCCAATAAAGATGCCCACTGTGGTGTGTGGTGCTCACAGAACCGTACCGGCGCTGTTTGTATTAGCCCATTAATTTTCACAGCCACCCATTTTCCAAAGTAAGCTATATGCTATCAGACTGATTAATGTGTTTACCATCCTGCCCAGGGAGCCACTTGTTTCAGGGAAGTTTTCAGATTAGCTTGCTGACATGTAAATCTTGTCTTACACTGAGCATTGGTCATCTTTATCAGGAGCTAAAGTTGTGTTGCTAATGCTTAAAAAGCTGAAATCAAATGTTTTTTACAAACATTTTTTTACTACAAGAAACATTTCCTGTTGAAGATTTCAAATCAAAAGTCTGTATTGGCAAACGTTGCCTTGAAACAGTTTTAGACGCCCAGATTACATTGCTTTCCAAGACTTCTGAATCTATAATTTGCAACAATTGCATCAAATTGAGGCATAGCAGTTTTATTTTTATATCACACATCGAACAATAAGGCAATTCAAAGTGTTTTGCATGAGGCGACACCTCAAACACACTTCGTCCTCGTGTGACATCTTGAAAAAATTAAAAGCCACCAATCACAAGATGAGAAAGAGAATTATGGACCTCATTAGTCTGGTTCATGCTTGGGCACAACTTCTGGATCCTTGACAGTATTTTATATGCAAATACAAAATGTTTGCATATTTTGTATTTGATTCCCATCACTTTAAAAAACTTCAAACTCAGATTTTTATGAGGATGGTAGTTGAAGTAAATGCTTCTAAGATATCTGCTGTTAGAGTTTTTTCTAAAACAAATAGGAAAACAATTAGCTAATGGTTTTGGGGGTAAAAAGTTCTGAACGAATGCACAAATATCTAGACATCCTCCTTATTCATACTATTTTAGTGTATGACTTTTTCTCCTTCAGTTTTCTAAGTTTATGGCAGGCTAGATACCAACAACTCATAACTACATCACACAACCTCACCTAAAAAAAAAAACATTTTTGATAATGTATAGCAAGTTCAGACAATAGTATTATACAGACACGCTCAGCTAATAGTGCTATTATTATGCTGCTAAGCCTTCCGGATGTCACAGAAATTAATTAGATGTTCACAATCTGTTGTGGTTGTGCTAAAAATTCATCCAAAAAAACATACCAGGGGAAACATAATACTTGATGGACACACATATTTTCAGAGAAGAAAAAAAAATTCAAGTCCTTTCAAAAAATGTTTTAATCTTTAAAAGCAACAACAATATCTTTGTGTTGCATCCAAACTGGCAGATGATTGACTTGCAAAGTGACTCCTGGGTGTGATAAAAGCAAGAATATGAGTTTTAGGTTCAATTTGTTATTGAATATTCCATAATAATGAGCAAATATGCAAGACTGAAAAATGTCTAGATTTACAGAGTGGAACATATGATTGTTAATATTTTGTTCAACAGAAACTGGAGCCAATCTTTGCAAAATCCCACTTTAAACTGAAAAGGTTTTTATACAACTTTGCATCCTAAATTTTCTGTCTTCTCCCTTTTACAGATTTGAACCTAGCAGCAGCCATTTTGGCTCTTTTGAGCCTGACCATGATGGTGATGGGCTCCATCTGTATTGCCATGTCGCTCAACAAAGGAGTGCCCTTCTTTCTCAAACCAGCATCCTTCTGTTTCATCCTATCAGGTGAAAATCAAGATTCCCATTAAGGCTTTTATATTTATAGAGTAAGGACCTTATAAACACCTTATTGTCTGTGCATATATTTTATCTGCTGACAGGCTTTAGAACACCTTTGAACGCCTGGACACTTTTGCAGCCCCTTTCTTCTGACAAGCCTAAATAAAATGGGTGGAAAATTTTTATTTATTTTTTTTCCAAAGTCACCCAATTAGTGAATGTTATCAGGCTCTTTTTAATGTATTCTTTGTATAAATACAACAGAGAATATAAATAAACAGGAGTAAATCTAAGTTATAATGTGTGGCAATTACACACCACCATGTGTTAGTTCAACACATAAATTACCAGCAAAGTACGATGAAGTCTGTTTCAAAATGTGATAATCAAGGTGGCATAAACACCTTTGGAAGGCACAGTTTATTTTAGGCTGCAACCTTCACCTAATCCCCGTTTATCATGTGTTCCAACTTGTGCAGGTGTTCTGGTTCTCCTGTCGGTGCTGATTTTCCACCAGTCTGTACTGGCTTTACTGTCCAGTGACCACTCCATTCCTCTTCACCACGAGCTGTCTTGGTCTGTCGCCTGTGTCGGCTCAGCCGGAGCCATCCTCATCATTGGAGGTGTCCTGTTCATCTTCCTTGCTCTCCCTTTTAGTCCCTGGCAAAAATGCTTTCCACACAAGGATAGCACCACCTAGCCCTTAAAATATGAATACTGCAAACAATATCCTCAGTATTTCTTTTTGAGGAAGCAAACACCAAATTCCAACAGCTGTGACTTTAAGCTTGCATAAAAGACACACTAGGTCTTAACTGAATATGAGAAGAGGAATGAATGACACATGAAGCACAGGAAGGCCTCTAGACTTAGGATTTTAAAATAATCTTTGTTATGTCAGTAATGTGTAGCAATTAAGATGAAACGACTCTTTTAGAATTAAAGCCGAATTACAAATAAACCAATATGTCTTTGCATGCCAAAAGCTGTAAAACTGCAAATAAATATTCTATTTTTACTAATATGCTTTTCTGTTTGCTTTGTTTTGAGGTTTGTTTATATTTATAACCGCCATTCTAAATGCAAAAACATAATGTAAACCATAGATCTAAATGATACCATTATGGAGTTATGTAAGTTCATGACAATCATAACTTTTCTGATATTTTCAAGACATTAACCATAATGTAAAATGTAAAAATCAGTTGCCATTGTTGTACATGTTGGTCTGTGGACCTTGTACAGACTTTTCCCCGAGATCCACCAGGGAAATAATTAGACAAAAACAATCTGATCAAAACCTTTTCAAATTGTATGCAAAATGCAATAAACAATGCAATTTCTGCTGATACATAAATTAAGAACTTCCATATTTATTCCTACTTAAAAGACCCATAATTATTTAGATTGAATGTTGAAATATTGTAAATGCTGTTTGAAGGAAACTGGCACATTTCAAACCTCAGATATTTAATTCATTGATTCTGACTTTAAGAGAGAATATTGTGGTGAGACTTTAAATGCTGCCTGAGGCCTTCAGAAAGATTGTAGCAGCTTATGAATCTGATAAGGGGTTCAAAGAAGTCTCAAAATAATGTGAAATCAGCCAGCTGTCTTTAAAAATGCAAGTAGACGACGTTAAAAACAACTGCTGACAGGTACAGGTGTAGATGTTCCAGCATGTTCACCTCAAAAGCAGACCACAAGATTTAAAAATATGTCTCCAAAAACCCTAAAATGTGATCACAGGACCTCCAGCAGGCGACCATTTTTGTTGGCATGAAAATGCATGTTTATGTGATTCGAAAGAGACTACACAAGTCTAACTTCAATGAAAGGTGTACAAAACAAGAAAATAAGGGACGCATAGACCAAGACCAGGACTTCTGGAATTATGTTGTTTGGGCAAAAGTTTATAAAGTTGTATAATTTCGACTCTAAAATAGAGTTCATGTTTGGCATAAAGTATTTAAAAAAATCTCAGAGTTTTTAAGTCTGAAAGTCTTTGCTGCAGCAGGAGTTGACATCTTACTGTCAATAATGAATGATTGATCAATTCATACAAGTTTGAAGGTACATTTTTAAACTATGATATTGTATGTGAAACTGGTGTCATGTATTGTTCTGATACGTACCCAAATCATGAGTTTCGTGAGGATTTAAGTGTTGTCAGTCATCATTGTGTATAAATCTTCGGCCTCTCTGCCGTTCCCCTACTGCTTGCCAGATGTCAGATCAACATTTACCAAAATACGAATTGAAGATTCAGTTATTATCTTACAACAATTTGTATTTAGTTTCTTCAAAGTCAAGAGTTTACATACAATTCCTTAATGACTACTAGCACTTCGTTTTAAAAGACCTGGGTCAAATATTTTGATTTTAATTCTGCAAGCTTTTCACAATGGTTTGCTGGACCTTTGTTCTATCTTTCCTGACAGAACAGATGCAGATTGTCTGGTTCACACACACACATTTTAAGATCTGCCCACAAGTTTTCTCTGGTGCTGGTGATTGCCACTCCAACATATTAACTTTGTGATTCTTAAGACAACGTAACTAAGTTGGTAGTGTGCTTCGGGTCATTTTCCTTGTATCCAGGTCTGCCTAAGGTTTTACTTCCTGGGTGAAGTCCTGATAAGTTGTTGAAATATCTCCATGTAGTGTTATTTTCTCATGATTCCATCTATTTTGTGAAGGACACCAGTTCTTCCTGCAGCAAAACACCATCACAAAAATAAATTGCCATTCCCGTACTTCACAGTTGGGATGTTTTAAAAAGACTTGTAAATTTCCTCATTTTCTTCCAAAAATAAAAATTGTCATTATGCTCAAACACTACAGTTTAAGCTTCATCACAAATTAGAACATGTAACTAGAAAATATGTATTCGTACCCATGAGCATTTAAACTGTAATTAGGTTTTTTGTGTTGTTTTTCCAAGTAGTGTCATCTCCCAGGAGACCTTTGAGTGCCTGTCGGTTCATAACTGGTGTTTTGAGTTAAACATCTTCTTAATGCAGAAGAATAACGTTCTGAATGGGTTTGCATAACACATTGACCTGAATGGTGTCCTGTCTTCTGTTTATGTTTTATGATTATTCAGCGAATTGCTTAATGAATGCATAACTTCATTTGCCATGTTGATTAAATGTTTTGCTTCTTTTTATCCTGGGAAGCAGCTATTATCATTTTCTTAAAAATGACAGTGCACTTTGTTTACTGTTGTCATGTGTATAGCATCTGTTTTTAACATAATTAAAACAATATAACATGAAGTAAATGCCTCCCTTTGTTTAGGTATGGCATTTTGTCTGCTCTACTGTCTGACATCCATCCATTCCCCCCACAACTCTCTGTGACTGATAACCTCTCAGCTAAATGTCCCCATTCCCCAGAAAAAAAAAGGAAAAAAAAAACCCACTCCTCTATAATTAGTCCAGAGCTCATTGCAAAGCATTTCACTGCAGAGGTTTGGGAAACATTATCCTTGAATTTCAACCTCATGCCTGGCCCTCTGGCTTGTACTCATACCTCTCCAACCCTGACCTCGATGCGTCACTTTCCCAGAGGTCTCCAGGAGAGGCCAGTGGCTGCCTTCCTCACCTCACCTATCCATCAGGAGGCCGACGTTTTTACGCCACACACGGACAACTGACCGATCAGTTCAGGAGCACTTCAGTAAGCACTCATGCATCCAGACTCACTGGAGAGCAGACGGCATCCAGACAATCTCACCTGAGCCATACTCGCATGCTTTTAGCTCCAAGCAGGCAGAAACTGAATCTCCATGACACACTATCCTGGTTGTATATACATCCATTAATAGCTCCACTCTGACTATGTCAAGTGTGGTGCAGTGGCTTTGGCTACTTGTTTACAAATAGAAACAAATTTGAATTCTTGATGCAGAATCAAGAAATTAAAGGTAGAAATAAAAGAAAAATAAACTTGATAATTTCTAAATTAAGAAAGAGTTAGTATCTGTCTATTAGATTTAATATATTATTCCAGTCCTTAATTTCCTCATTGAGGTTGGACTGCAGAAGGTTCAGTAAAAGCAGACAAACAAACCCTCAAAATCCAGGAAAACGTCTTGGATATTTAAGATGCTTGTCAAAGGCGTCACACCGCTTCTTCCCTTCAGTTACTGTAAGATGAGCCTTCTCTCACTCTTTAGCCAGTCACTATCCCACTGCGGTCAAAATACACCAGCAGAGCAGACCTTGAGTGCAGTTTCTAATTGTTCATGCAAAAGTATGCATAAAATAACAGATGGCTCCATCTAAAAGCAAAAAGTAAGAGTCACACCAAAGGACGCTGAGATAACTTTCTGTTGCTTCTCTCACTCTGCGTCTCTGCTAACTACCACCCATCTGGCATTATCTATGTACCTGCACATTTAAAGAGCCGCAGGTTTGACAGGGAAGGTCAAAGTCACTCCACACAAGAGATTAGACCTTGAGCTGGAGTATACGAAGCACTTATGTCTCAACTCTTTTTTAAAGACACCAACTCAGTTTGTAAAAGTCAAGTTGTAAAATACATGATTTATGTGTTCCCATCCAAAGGTATTCACAAGTTCTACTTTGATATATTAACACAAAATAGTGCATAATTGAGAAGTTTAAGGAAATGTTACAGTGTTCAAAAAATTTTTAGAAAGAAAATTGAAAAGATGTGGTGCGCATTTTGCACCCTTACATGTCCCCTCTTTTTAGTAAATAAAGTTCATACAGATGTAATTAAATTTCAGTATAAATCCAGATGTTTGTGAAAACCCCAGAGGTGTGTTGAAGAACATCAGTGAACAAATAGTGCAATAAAAGCCGAGACACACAGCAGACAATTTGGAGGACATTACAATGAAGCTTTCTTTCAAACATGCCAATTGGCGGCTCATGAGGAAAGCAGCATTATGCTGTGGGAATGAAGCTGGTCAGAGTCGAGGAGATACACGGTGGTTTAAAAGGATATCATGGCCTTGCTAGAATTTACTAGACCAAGTGACCTTGTTTAGGTATAAGTAGCAACACAGGCTTTCTTTTTCCAATTTCAAGCATTTAAATATTAAAGGAAAATGTTTACTGTTGCCTTGCAGCAAGAAGGTCCTGGGTTCGATTCCCGTCCCAGGGTCTTTCTGCACGGAGTTTGCATGTTCTCCCTGTGCAAACGTGGGTTCTCTCTGGGTACTCCGGCTTCTTCCCACAGTTCAAAAACCTGATTGTCAGATTAAATGGTGTCTCTAAATTCTCCCTGGGTGTGAATGAATGTGTGTGTGGATGGTTGTTTGTCATGTCTGTCTCCGTGTTGCCCTGCGACAGACTGGTGACCTCTCCAGAGTGACCCTGCCTCTCGTTGGCTGGAGATGGACACCAGCACCTCCCGACCCCACAGGGGACAAGGGTGTTAGAAAATGGATGGATGGATGGTTTACAAAAACAAGACGATTGATTTAAAACCATCAGAAATTCACTCCTTATGAGATTTTGAGTTCGGAGTTGTACATTTGAAGGTGGAAATTAAAGTTCAGTTTTAAGACTGGAAACTCAGAAATCATGAGCAGAAAGTATAAACCGAACCCATCCCAATACATCAGTTATTGTAATTTTTTAGATAAATCCTTGATTGTTATCCTTGTTTTCTATATGGTCATATTTGATATTACTTCAAACTGATGTGTTTTTGTTCCTTCAATTATCTGCAAAACCACATCTAGTTTTCAGTTATTAAATAAGTTAAGTTTCAACTGGTCATGGCTGGGAAGACTGGTGCCAGTTTTTGAAGACACTGGTGATATTGAATTATTACATATAAAGACAAAAATCAATCTGTTTAAAAAAATATCTGTTATAAAAATGTTTAAAATCCAAAACATTGATCAAGTTAGAATATTGTGTTCTCTCTGCAACAACATACAAAGCTCTCTATCCTAAGATTGATAAAAAAAATTTTTTTAGCTAAAGCTTAAATAGTAACTCTGATAAAAAAAAAAAAACTGTATTTCTTGAAATTTTCAAAT